GGGGTCGTACGGGACTTCTCGGAGTGATAGCGAGGATGGACAGGCCCGTGCGTGGTAGTTGACCCCGGATGCGTGGTAATTACCCCATATCACTCTAGCTCAATAATGCCCAAGGCTGGCAACTGCCGCCATAACCCACTGACACCAGAACGCTTATCAGCTCGATCTGAGCATGGACCAGAGTTCTGTCCCCGTGATCTGCGTTCCAAGGAGTTCCGGTCAGAGTCACACAGGTGGTTAACGCGTCTACCATATTGATGTTTGCGGAGAATGATCTTCTGGGCGAAGTTTGTTTGCTCAGTTGTAAGATAACGCGATCATCAACATGATATGGCCGATGAGTTCTGATCTCGAGGGCAGCTGAACCCACGTATGCAAGATAAGGGCGGGCAGTAGACCCTCATTTGGAAGTTCACCGTGGGTTTGATGCAGGCAATGGATACCTCGGGCATTATTCTCGAAAGCTTGTAAATCACTCTATCCCGTTGATCTTTGATCATGGTGGCACAGCGTGCTACCGTTATGCTACTGAGACCCTTGCTACTTCAATCAGTTATCCGCGATGGCCACGGAAGAAATTCTGCGGTGTCAGTGTCCGTCGAAGAAGGAGTCGTGAAGATAGAGCTGACCTTCTTTCGCATTCCGTTCTTCCTTTCTACGAATGGTTAGATGCCCGATCTTGGCCTAATGATTCAACTTTGGTAGCCCTTCTGGTGGTTAGACTCTTGCTTTGGATTGAGAGAGAGTTTGCAAGCCTACTAGGCAGTCGTTGCCTCAGGCCACTCGCTCTTTGCCCGTGGTCACTGCAAGAGATAGCAGGCTTCAACTATATCTCCATTGCAAAGCTTTGATTGTGTCCTGTTAAGCTCCATGCATACAATCTGGGGTTGAAGTCCATCTTTACTTAGTCTACGTCCGCCATGCAGTAGATAATGCGGAGAAGATCTCCGCAGCTTCATTGTGTGCGTCAATGTGATATGTCTGTAGAAGCAATGTACTGTAGAAAGTGTACTGTACTGTACTGTTCTGTTGCCGGGCCAGCAGCTTGGTTGCAGTATGGTACAGTATGACGTCATTATCTTATCTCTCCACCCATTCTGCCGCCTTCCACCGCGAATACCCACAGCAGTGGGCTTGTCACGTGGTACTGTCGTCATTTTCCAATTGTTTGCACCGAAAGTGCATGACTTCCGCTTTCCTCATTCTTCATTCTCCACATTCCCAGACCAAGTTGTGGTTGACCCCTTGGATCTGATCACTCGCTTAACAGCCCACCCCCACACCCACAGGTGAGGAGGGAACGAGACCGGATAGAGGGGGATCCGCGGAGAAGACAGAAAGATGCAGTAGACTGAAGCCTTCCTGGACAGAGAGGCTGTCACAAACACGGATCAGTCGGAAGGGCAGATCGATGTTTGAGAAACGACTGTTTACGCTCAGCAGCAATGCAATCTAACGCACGTTATACACCTATTAACCACATTAGCCAGCAGCAAATAACCCCGGTGTTGACCATCAGCACAGCAACTGACGATACAACAAGGGATGGGCGTGCATATCCGACCAACCGCAATCTGCAAACGCACCGCGCCAGTACACATGACAGCTATACCCTCATGCAACAGACATCCAAGCCGTCCGTCCTGTCCTGTCCACCCCGCTCCAAAAACTTCAATCTCATTGATCTCGGGCATTCAGACTCTCAACCTCGACCCGGAGGAGAGTGTCCCATTAGCGCGGGCTTCATCCTTCCGCCACGCAAGCCTGGACGGTAAGGCCACTGGACCGGGGGTCCCGTCGAGCACAGACACCACTTCTTGACTAGCAGGGAAGAGAGAAACGCCTAGGTTAGCAAAGTGACAAACATGCCATACACATTGTCTGAGCGCGCAAAACCCCTCCTCCCCCTGCTGTGTGTGAGTTTCAGTCCGACTTATCGCCAGCCGACCGTGTTTCCCCTCTTTCTTTTACTCCTTAATGGGAAACGTTGAGCGTCGCGGTCCGCGAATGTGGGGTGCGCAGCTATAGCAGCCTTCCGTTAAGATGGCCGTACAGGATGGCTTCGATCCGTCCCCTCCGCACTGCAATATCACGACATACAGCTTTTCCCTCTCTCTCGCACTTTTACTGGGTCCCAACCGCCCTAGCCTCGAGCTAGTCACTTGACAAGAGCACAGCCTTTGCGGGGTACAGACACCCTGGAGCACATCATATACGCAACAGTATGGCCCCTGGTCTGCCAACTCATGCTCTCTGCCTGCGTCTAGTCGCTTACCCTCAGTCGCGACAACGCCATTACGGGAGTCTATACCATACTATGGCCAATTATACAAGTATCCACAGCTATATGGGCACCCTTGGCGCTTCTTCACCCTGTCATGGCTTAACAGCCACCATGCTATTGTCAACATGACCATCGGAATTTCTCATTTGAACAATCTTGCAGGCAAGTCGCCTGTCACAAAGATCATTCAGCACTCGTTCTTTTCTTCCAGAACGGCGCAGGAGGTTATCTCCGTCTCATGGGGTACGCCATTCAATCCCAGTGTGGACGCTACATCAGGCTACCAAGCCAGACAACACATTGAACTTCAAACCACGGACGCAGCAAAGGTGCATCAAACCTTCTTCCTAGGCCTCTTGGCAGTCTCTAGCCAATGCTTACAAACCTCCAACCAACCAACCAACCCGACCCGTAAGCACATATCGGTATAGACGCCTCCACCGTGACTTTCCCAACCTGCGCCGTCTGGGTCCATCCCGAAGTCCACTTCCCAAACGTTGTATGTTTCTCCTTGCCACAGCCACCTCTCCTTCCCCGCCTCGTGAAGTAGTCCTATTCAGATAGAGCATCACCTCGTGCAGGGGCTCGCCACTGACATGAGACAATACAAACGCCCTACGTTTACGACAGTACAACGCCTCCACAATGGGAATGTATCCCTACCCGCTGATCGAGTGGTGGCAATGGACCACGGGCGACCCTTCCAAACGCCGCCCCTTGATGCGCCTACCCGCCGTCCAGATGTCAATAGAACCAGTAGAACCCCCTCCGAGATGGACAATCCCGACAATCCTTGAGCAAGCCAGAACCCTCTGTAGAACAAGAGAGGCAAATCATTTTTGAGCGGCAAAAGGAGTACATGTTGTACCATCTAGAATTAGAAGAAGAGACCCTCGAGTACATCCATATACATCGATGCCCTAGAAGACAGACAGACCAAAGAGGCGAGTCCCATCACTTTTTTAAAATAGATTCACCCCTGTAAGCCACTCAGTACAGTAAACCTCGCCGCCTCCGCCTCTACCTTTCCATTATATTCTTTCAAACTAGCCAGTTACTCTAGCCTAGTAGTATACCAAACCCAACCAGCCTGAGGCAAAAACAATCCCTTCGCCCCTTTGCCTCTGCTGCACAGACGCACAATCTCCTAAATCAGTCATGACACTCACCTCTCCTGATATCATCCTACACAGCTTTGTTTACATTCTTCAGCTAGATAGACATCATACTTAGAGCTGTTGATATCATCCTCTGCACCATCGATATCATTCCCCCTACTTCTCTCCCTCGCCCCCAGAAAACAAAGTTATGCTGTGGCGCCCACCTCGCCTCGCCTCGCCTCGCTTCGTTTCGAACATTCCAGATATTCCGTTCTTGTCAGTGTGTGTGTGGGTGTGGGTGTGCAGTAAAATGTCTTCACATCCTGCGAGATGATGCAAGTTCCGTGGCGCTGGCTGCGGTCTGGACGCGCGGGATATGCAGTGGGCAGAGGGCGAGAATCCCAGGGAAGCAAGAGCATATGTTCTGTACTGTGAGTCGTGATAGTACAGTGGGACTGGGACTGGGACTGGGACTGTACACTAGGTAAGGTTCGTAGAGCAGCGTACAGTAGTGCTCACTTAGGCTTGGGGTTCCCCTTCCCCTTCCCCTTCCCTTGGGGTGGGGTGGGTTGGTTCTGTCGCTGTTCGCAAGGTGCTAGGGTGCGAGACATCGACACCGGCATCGACATCGACGTCGACACAGAGAAGAGAAATTGAAGCAGAAGTGAAAAGCAAGTGCCACTGTGAGGCGGTCTGCCCTGCAGTAAGTTAACTTATTCGAGCGTGTTTCTTCTTGGGGGGAAGGGGGGAAGGGGCGAGGGGCGAGGAGGAGCGGGGGATGAAAAGTTAGACACATGCACCATCACCACCACCACCACCACCACCACCACCACCAACCGTCACTGTCACTTACTGTCTTCGGGTCCGGTCTCGGTGAGAGTGCGATTTTGGGGGAGAGTTTTGGAGGTGGTGCATGGTACTGTACTGTACTTACAGTCCCCTGGGTGTGTATGCAGTGTAGTCTGCTGAGAAGGAATGCTTGACCGTTCTTGATTTCCTGCCATTGCCATTACCCTCTTGCTGGGCCCTTGGAATTGGGAATTTCTGCACGCAGCTGCGTGCTGCACTCTGTACTGTACACTACACTACACTACACTACACTACATTTACCTCTCCCCATTGGCAATGGCAATGGCAATGGTCACAGCTTGCAGGTTGTAACTGGGCCTGCTTTTGGTCGCCGGAGGGACACCTCGTAAAAGAAACAGTCCCGATTACAATTGTTGTGCGCCCTTTCGATGAAATTTTGTTTGTATTATTGTGTGACCCAATTAATCCTTCGCTCATTCAGGAGTCTCGACTTTGTCTTGGTATACTATCAAAAAGAAAAAGAAAAAAAAAAGCAGAATTCCGCCCATCAAGCCAGCTTCATCGCGGACATATCTTCGAAGAATCGAATCGCAAATGCAACAAAAGGTTCAGACAGCCGCCCAGAGACAATAAAAATTGAACACAGTATTAGGCATAATAAAAAATGGATAAGGTCGAAAGGTACAATATATGCATGAGGTGAATAAAGCGTCTTCAAAAGCACCCGTCTGGTCTCTCTTTTCTCTCTTTCTTTCTTTCTTTTGTCTTTCTGGCCTTGGTCGTTCGAGTTGCAACACCTAAAGGTATGATCATCAGGCGGGCACAATAACCTGTTTCATTTCCTTCATCAACGTTCGTATGTATCATCAATTGTCGTTAGTCTTTCATATGATCATTCGAGATTCTGACATGCACTAAACACTCGCCGTGCGGCGTTTCTCGCTAGGTTTCTGAGCGTATGCAATCCACAAGCGAAAGCCCGTGCCGCGCTGTTGACACTCACGGATCACCTTCCGGTCCGACCAGATGCTGAGAGCTATATCGCCATTCGGGAGGATGGGGATCTCGTAGCATCGCGTGTACCACCACCTGCCTACCTTGGCGACTATCTTGCGGATCGATTCATCGTTTGTGGGTGATGGGGATGGATCAGATAGAAGGTCACCCAGAGATAGGTCGGTGCTATTGGAAGATGACTTCCCATGAAGCTTTTGGTAAACAGTCGCAGAAGTCTCTGTGAAGGGCGAAATACTGTCTGAAGGGCCAGTTGTTGCAGCAAGCACAAATGGGTCCGAGGATGACGTGGAGGTGGATGATGCTGACGATCTCACGATCATTCCTGCAACGGGAATTCGAACCATACATCGTCGGAGATTATCGAACCCATACTTTCCAAGCAGCTTCTGTATGCTGTCGCTCGTGGGCTTCAGGCTGATATTCGGGTCGGACACATATGTCCTTTCCTTCAATGTCCTCAAAGCTCTCCGTGTACGGTTGCCCATGTTCACCATATCACGGTCAAGGATGCTCATCTCCAGGTAGCCTCCCGCGCGCAGAACACGCTTGCATTCAGACACAAGTCTGGCTTGCGTGTTCTCCGCACAAGCTGCAGGGAAGCGCAGAACAGCAACAGTAAAATATCCTTTGGGGAAAGGCAATCTGTCGTTGAGGGTCGACTGGTAGAACGTGTGGTGATTTGATGGTGGCTGCCATGCTGCCGGGTGCTTGAACGTAGCGGTATTGGCTCCCTCATTGAGACTATATACACTGGCTGCGGGATACGTCAGGGCACAGTAGAAGGACCAGTCGTCGTTTCCGAGTCCATCCACAACCAAAATTCTTTCCTGATCTCCGCTTTGGGCACGGCCATGTCCGGGACTAAATAGAACCCTCCCGAATGATAACCAGCGACTGGTCATGAGCGAGCCGGACCTGATGTTCGTGAGAGCAGTTGGCCCTTCACGATCACGTTCCGCTATGTCGAATAAGGCAGTGTTGCGCTGACGGCATTCTTCGAAACTGAGAGATGCAACTAATGCTGTGGAGCCAAGCAGGCCTGACGGGTGCTCCGCAAGGGGCAATGGCATCACGCTGTCGGGTCCTTGCTCGGTCAATTCCTTGTTTTCATCGCGGTTATCACAATAACAAGCGATTATGCTACTGAAGGAAGGCTGGGAGGACGGGGCAATTGACGTGCGAGATTCGGCAGGAACATTGGACCTGCGGAGTCGGACAGAGCCATTAGTCGACACTGGAGAGGAAGGCGTAAGCTCGACTTTTGGCCCATCAACCGAACCAGCCGGGGGCTTCATCTGATCACTAGTCAGCTCCGCTTGGAGCGTTTTGCTAGCCATTGTCGCCATCTCGAGGTTCCGATCCGACTCTGAGCCAATTGAAAACAACGTACTTGTTGTCTGGGGCGACAGAACATGATCAATGAGGTCATCGTACTCCCCCCATACTTCATCTTCCATCAAATCTGCCCCGGGGCTTGGAACCACGGCTGTGATTGCAGCAAGGCTCTCGGAGCCACTTGAAGTAGATACTACCGATTCCTTCCTGGGTGCAAACGTCATAAACTCATCCTTTGCATAAGGACCAGCAATGAAGTCTAGGACACTGAATTGAAAAAGGTCGGCAAATGGGTTCGCTAGGTCAAAACCGTCAACAGACTGCTTTTGCGGGGATTCGAGCTGTTGCACTGTGGGTGGTTGTGAGATGGACGGGGAAAATTCGTTAGGCTTCGGGCCAACTGGAGCGAGTAATGAAGGAGAGTCCGCCACGCTAAATGGTCTCGAGAATGACTGCAGAGCCGGCTTGTGCGGTCGCTCCCTTCTCGAAACAACCCGGGGGATGCGACCGATCGATGTGAGGCGACTGGTACGTTTAACTTCCACTCGATCGTCCAATCTACCTTCGGGGCTCCGAGGAGCAAAGCCCTTGTCAAAATAGACCTTTGGAGACTCGGCTTGATCTCGAAACAAATTGTCGTGTAGCTTCGGTGGTGAAGGTAGCAAGATGGAATCGGTAGCGTCTCGTATATTCAAAGCAGCTGGCACTTCAACTGGGGAGGCAATCTCTGTCTCTTCGTCCTCGGTCGGAGGTGAGTTCTCAACACGATGGACTATCTCTTCAAGTGGGTCCGAGTCATCGTCCAGCAGCGCATAGTACGGAAGAGGCCTACGGGCAGCTACGGGAGACACCGTAGCATGAAGCTTTGGGCCAGAAGGGGCGTCAATGTCGACAGGTGATCGAACTGTGTCCGGTTTTCTGTGAAATATATTCCATTTGAGCCCAAGGCCTCTCTTAGATGGCTTTTTCTGTGGGCTCTGTGCCTCAAGAGCTCTGGGCTGTCTATCATCGTCGGGCACTTGAGGTTTCTGATATTGCCGACTGACCTGAGCAAGCACCTGCGGTTTGACAACTCTCGTCTGCTCTGGTTGGGTGACGGACATATCCGCAGGCTCGGAAAATGCTAATATGCTCGAAGTCTTTTGCCCTTCCGAGCCTCTCCAGACTGATTCGCTCAGTGTCACCGAAGTCGCCCTAGATGATGGCAATGTCTCCGTGGAGCCGCTTGCAGATGGAGAAACCTTGGACTGTTGTGTCAGAATTGAGTTTGTGCCTGTACTGAAATCACTTGTGCTCTGTTCGCTCTGCCTTCTCAAAGCAGCAGTGCCGTCCATACCACCGCCTTGGATGATCACAGGTTGAAGACGCTCCAGTAGAAAGTCATCAAGCTCGAACTCCGGACGGCCTTTTCCAGGAATGCCTTTGCTGCTGGAAACAGGCTTTGGTCCACTTCTTACTGAGCTTGACGATCGTGCTCGACTGGTCGTACTGCTAGTCGTGCTCATCTTGCGGCCTCGCTGCGAGTACCTGCCGTAGCCTTCGTGGCCTGTTCCGGCAGCTGGTCCTTTGCGAAAATATCTACCTTCGTTATCCTTTTCTATCTCTGGTTTAGATCGTCTAGAGAACAGACCAAGGGTGCGGGTTTTGCCTGGACTGACAACTTCGTGCTGAGCGTTAGGACCCTTGGTCGGGATTCGGGGGCTTTTCCATAGGAGTTCGGGCGACGTGGGGATGCGTGAGGTGGTTCCTTGCGCAAATAAAGTAGAATACAGAGAATCCACAGACGTGGCTGCAGACAAGTTTGAATGTGTCGCTCCCTCAGGTACTGCATTCCGATCGCCTGAAATCCGACGTCTATGTCCTGTCAAAGCTGTAGGCATTATGTTGCTCTGAATGATCGGTGAGGGCTCCAGCACCAACTGATGGGTCCCTTCCCTGCTGGGTCGTGTGGGAATATGGACAGAAATCTTCATCCCGTCCGCTCTCTCCTCACGAAAAACAGATTTGGGTTTCTGTGCTGCTCCAGAGTCCGGCTGCATATCGTGGCATGGCTGCTTCTCACTGAAGAGGATCGGTTTTGTCCAAGTGGGTAACTTTCGTGGCAGGCTACTTCCAGCCACGTTCGGCGCATTAACCATTCTCGTCCCAGACTCTTCACGGTAGCTATCACCATGTAAATCGCCCCGGCTTGCTCTGGGGCGTGGTTCCGATTCATCTATAGCGCTTCGTGCAGGCTTTCCTGCGGATGAGCTCGGCTGGTGTTGCTGGGGAGAGAAGACAGGGAGCCTGCTTTGAGTTGGACTTGGCTGTCTTATACGAGGACCCTTAGGAGCGATCGAGATCCCTGGTGAGTACGAAGACAAGGTAGTAGGTGTGGATGTCCTACTCCACATGCCGGGAGACTCAGAGTATCTCGTCGATGGGCTGCTGGCAGAAGGGATGATTGGGGTTGGGGGTGGGAGGTTCTGTGTGTTGATCGTGGTGGTCCTAAGACTGGCGAACTCCTTTGGGACATCGTGAGCTGTGATATTCGATACGCTGCTCAAAGAAATCTCCGGCGAGGTCATTGGTGATGAAAGTTGTCCGATCAGACTAGCATTACCTGGCGGGGACCGAGATAGAGTAGTCGCTGGACGACCAATGGAAGATTGCTCTGGAATTATAACATTCAGCTTCTGAGACCTGATTCTATCCGGCATGGGCTTAATTTGTGCACTATGCTGGCCAATTGTGGGCGCTCTCCTTCGCAGAACATTCCGCAGTCGACCTTGACTTGGGGTCTGTGGTTCAGTTCCGGAGTGACTCAGGGGTTCAGCAGCCATGTGGGATGCCAATGATACACGACGATCTGCCTTCGGGTCCGGGGTCAAATGCGGCGAAGATGAGTGGATCGTCCCTTGAGAGGATGAGGGCGGACGAGCCATGAGACCAGTCGGAATTCTCGACGTCTTCGAGGATGCAGAGGCATGGCGACTATCTTCTGCATCGGATAGAGATGGTGTTCTGGTATTCCTGGATGGTCCATTGTTCGGCCTTGGTATCCGGGGACGGTGCAATAATTGGGCAGCAGAGTTCGAGGAACGCGCTGAAGCCATCCCGGTCGACGATACATTTCGGGGTTTAGAAGCGACATCCTTCAGCCGGGGTATTCGGCCACCGTCAGACTTGTGCGACGACATCGTATGACCAAGATCCAGTCGCCAGCTTCAGTCCGAGGACTACTAATCTAGCGATGGTATGGAAACGGACAAGGCTTGAACTCATTCCGTCTGGTTCCTGATTATCGGGATTGGAGCGAAATCTGCAGGCAAAATGCGATGTAAGCTTCTATACGCTCCGGGCCTGAGTCAGAGAACTGATTGATCACTTACATTGGTAGCTGGTAGCATCGTGTTCTGAGGGGGATATTGAATGACAGGAGCGCTTCTATATGGGGAAAGTTGAAGACTTCACAATATTGCCGCGTGGCGGGGTATTTCTAAGACACAATGAAGCGGTCAAGCACAGAATGATGTACTATACAAGGGTTTAAAAGCACCATAAAGAACCGCGTTCTTGAAATAGCAGGCACCTGAAAAACGAAAAAAGAAAGAAAAAATTGGCCGTCCAGATAATATGATTGCACTTGAGCGAAGACGACAGAAAATATCCAATTGATCGCGGGTATACTTGAGCCGGCGGACAGATGCACTCACTGCGCCACAGCCCGGAGACGTCGCCGGTGGCTAAACGCAGGCAGGAAGAAAAGAAAGTGGTTGAGCTGGGTCTGCACGACCACGTCAGAGAACGTGCTGCGGCAGTCTGCAAATCAGAGAGTCCGCTCAAAAGGAAACTCTCGAAGGCCAGCTGAGAGAGAAGTAAAGGGTAGAAAGTGAAGTGAGGAGGAGTAAGAGGGCGAAGGAAGGTCATGGATCAGGTTGTATTAATCAGTGACCATGAGATCTGGACCTGGGCGACAGTCTATGAGCGTCCATAATTGAGTTCAACCCCATTGTGGACCGTCGAGCGCCGCGGGAAAGCAGGATATCCATTTGCAAGTCAATAAATCCCTATAACTAAAGGGTCAACTATCACAGAGGAATCCTGGCGTCGTTTGTGCGATCGACATCGGCGCCGGATTCGAGCCCTGATGTGACCGGGACGATCATTGGCGCAGGAACTACTCTGTCGCCTTGTCGCATAGCATATCAGTACGATTATCATATAATTCCCGTCATCGCCAGTGCATCTTGGAATGATTATCGTTGGGGGCAAATTGAGCCTAGAGGATCCTCATCTTGGTCAAGGGCACGAGCGTTTTGGACTCCACAGATATTACCGCTGAAGTCGAATTGCGAGAGGCATAACGAGCCAGAGTGGACGGGAACGATTGTTCAGATCCACCCGCGTTTGTTACCTTCGTTATAAGTGGTGAAGACTACCGCAGCACAGGCCTGAGGACTGTTCAACGGTAAGGGCTGACAGGTCTCGATGGAGTCGAGTGGCGTGGGATAGTGGACAGTCCGTCGTCCTGGAATCTGACCACTTGCGATGGCCCAACATGCAAATGGCAGGTGCAGGCATCATTGAATGGGATCAATTCATGAAAGGAAGAATTGCCGCAGCTAGATCTGGTCTGTGTGTCAATCATGATCGACTCTGATTTGACGCCTGTCGGACATTTTCCTTCGTTCTATCGGGGATTCGGGGGAGGGGGGAGGGAGAGAGGGGAGAGAGGGGAGAGAATGGCGAGATTGGCGATAACTGAAAGAGGGGGTGGATTCCCTTCTTTTTTCTTTTTTTTTTTTTGCATTAGTGCGGCGGTCAGGTGAAAGGCTGGAGGTCACTGATGGTCACTGATGGTCAGTGACTTCTTCTGTTGGTTATTGGTCTTGCCGATCGCGGCGAGTCCGAGTAAGAGAACGTGAAGGAAGTGACGAACCACCACGAGTGGCTACTTAGTCTACTCTATCATAGTACACACTATCGATCAGGTGCAGAAAAAAGGAAGAGGGAGAAAGAAGAAAAAGGCAGCATCTTCAGACCCTTCAACTTATCCACAATGTGTGCGTGCCATCGCTGATCTTGCCAGAGGAGCAACTCTGGTACGCTGGAAGGTTCGCCCCGAACCATCCTGTCATCCCCAGTTTCCCTGCTTCTCCAATACGTACTGTACAGTACACTGCTCAAACAACTTCTTCTCCTAGGGCGAGCCATGGCATGAAATCAATTACTGGGTAACTTATAATGGCTGGCCAGGATATACTTCGACCAGAGATCGTTGTTTTCATGGCATCCTAGCTTATGTACCCAGTACTCCGTACAGTACACGGCAGCTGAGACCAAGGGCCACAACTTAGAATGGTGGAGACACTGTCGGTCCCTGAAGCAATCAATTCATCGAGAATCGAGAATCGAGAATCAGCCCTTGTGGGATCGAGGTTGACGGTCTATTAATATCTCTGCTACCTGACTCTTCCCAGTAGATGCGGAGTCGCTCAGCCCGTGGGTCTTGATCCGCCGCTAAATTCTGGTCACCGTGCGACAATCCGCCCTGATTGACGGATGCCATCCGCGCGGCCTGGCTCAGCACCGAGCCTGGACGGGGGCAACACACCGTGCAACACGAGACGATTCGCTCGATTTAGTGAAGCAAAGGCCCTTTCGCTTACCGCAGTTGTTCACTGGAGCGGAGATCAGCGGCTATTCGAGGCCTTTGCTCAGCACTAATCATGGAAGTGCTTGACTACAAATGACTCCGATCAGGATAAGCTAAGCTAAACGATGGCGATATATACCAATCACCGACCAGCCTGAAAGCGACTTCTCGTTGGGACGGCCGGGATACTCAGAATGGGTAACAGGACACGAATTGAAGGTAGTAGGCGGGCGGGAATGCGAGCGACATGATAGTGAGGGTCTTCTGCAGTCACACTATTGGCATGGCGTGGCGCGGTGATTTCGATCTACTGACGCGGATCTCATTGCTTTGAAAAGACCGAGACAGTTCTGATCTTTCCATGGCCAGCGAGCAGCGAGCACTGTCCGACTTTCTGCAGGAACCGGCGCCTGTCATGCACCTTTCAGCTGAACATGTCAAGTCTGCCGCTACCGACCGCCACAGTAACATAGCTTGCAGCTTGACACGACCGTCTAGAAACCTCCAGAGAATATTGATCGTCACAAGCAGCCCGCTTCTATCTATTCATGGTTGTCGACGAAACGGGTCCGGCTTGCTTGAACTCCCAGAAAGCAGAGTAAACATGGCACAAGACAGGAACAGAAGACACACAAACAGATGTTGGACTGGATGTCACCCTGAACGGTGCTTTGTCCTCGTTCAGCACCAATCTCCGATCAAGGTCCGATTGTCGACATAGTAACGATAGCCCTGGCCTTGTCCCACCCTCCCTAACTCGTCAACCCACTAGGACTGTACGACTACCGTATGGGACAAGAGCATCTGGCCGATCTGATTGACCAGGTCGAGCTTCCTCGCTGCCGTCCTATCATACTACAGAATTGGATTGACAACCATAGCAGCTTCCTTCAAAAAGCTTAAGCACACCAGTAAAAGTCTGAAGATCGATATTGAATTCCCTTAAACGCCGAGCGAGATGAAAAACAGATAGAATGAAAGGTAAAGCCGAGAAGCCAGAAAGCCGAGGAGCAGCCTATCCGAATCTCTTCTTCCTGGCTTCCAAAGCCTGGGCGTCCTTTTCACTCAGACTGCTACCCTTGTTTCCACCTCCATTCTGCTGCTGCTGGCGCTGAGTCTGACCTTGACCCTGGTTGCGATTCCCGCGACCCTGTCGCCGGGACTTATTCCGGCCGCCACCGAAATCGCGTCTCTTTCCTCCCCGACCACCACCCTGTTCATTCTCACCGCGACCACGCTTGCGCGACTTCTCTTCCGGAAGTGCCTCATCCAGCTTCTTCACCCCAACCTCGGTTGTGGGGGCCGCGACGGCAGCTGAGCCGAACCGCTTCGCCCGTTCCAGCTGCTTCTCTGCAGCATCAATGGCAGCCTTGGACTCCTCCGTGATTCCAAACTTCTCCGCCCGAGCCTTACGCTTCTTCAACTCCTCCTCCATCTCCGTAATTGGAAGGCCCGCAGCGAAGTTCGGGGCCGGCTTCTGCTCGGCCTCTTCTGTAGTAGCGGTAGCGGCAGCGTCCGTGGCAGCCTCCGGCTTCACCTCCGCAGAAGCAGCAGCACCCTCCGATTCAACCTTAAGGTCGTTTGCGGTAGCAGGATCGGTGTCTAGCTTCTGGTTGGGTACAGCAACAGGGTTGGGCACTTCCCCCTTTCCGCCGGCCGCGATGGCAGCAGCCCCAGCCTCTGTGGAGCTCTTCGCAGCGGCCTCCGTGGCAGGGACTTCGTCATCCTCCCAATCGATGACATCATCAGCTGCTGCTGGAGCTGCAGATTCGGTTGTCGTTTTCGTAGCCTCAGCGGCCTTGTTATCATCCTCCTGGAGGCGAGCCACCATTTCCGCCTTCTTGCCGTTATGCGGAAGATTCCGAGACTTGAGGATTTCGACCAGCTCTGCGTTGGTCTTCTTGCCGTAATCGGTCGTCATGGTGTATAGCGGGTATGCGATGTACTAAGTCAATTGACCGTATGGAGAGAGACAGTGGAGAATAGCAGGCGCAGGACGTTGACGACGTATGTGAGCGGATGTGGTATTCCAATTCGAATCGGCTTGGCGCTTTTAGGACCCGCTGAGGTGTTCAATTCCGCTTGGAGTTCTAAATGTGCGCTTTTCTGAGATGATGAATGCGCAGCGTTAACGATGGAGGTCTTAGAGAGCGATGAGATAGATGGCAGGAGAGGTTTAAAAAGAGCGCAGCTGGTTGGGGGACGTGTTTGAGACGGGAGGCGACTGTTTGGCGGCGGTTTGCCCGTTCCGGAAGAGCTATCACGTGTATAGCTGACGTAAGGGCCATTGCTCCTTCATCCAGAACTATACCGAACAGAACGGATGCTAATCTTGAATTGAAGTTTTAGGGACTGATGACCTGACGGATGTCTCAATCATTCGCATGTTGGCTCCTTAGAAGCTCGAGTGAACCATTTGGCAGTTGAAGTAGAGTTTCTATGCGGTCAATGCGCAGCTACTGTATGCCGAACTATGACATGGCAGGCGAGAGACATCGGCAACGCCAGCTTTTGCACCGCCTCCACGCAGACAGTGCAACTCATTTCTGGCAAGCCAGCGTTAGATTTACTGTTATACGAAAGCTGAATTACTTGATACCTGGACTTGTTCTTCAATATTGACAACGAAGTGACCAAGAGTTGTCTGTTATTACTGGAATCAAACAGCTCTTCTTATACTCATGCTCATGTTGTGACTACTGTCAGTAATATTTGGCTGGTGGTTTTGAGACGACAGTCTCGGGTCTGTAGAATAGCTTGAGGCTTGATATATTGTTCGCTCCGATCATGCTTGAATGTAGTTTGCGAGAATCACTTGAGTGGTTAGAGAATTTGCAAACATATATATACTCTTTTTGGGTTCAGATCCGGAGTACTTAACTACGACTCCTATCGGCCCGAGACCAACACATACGGACATGTAGCATTCAAAAGAACCGCCTTAAATATCTCAATAAGCTACTCTAAAAAAGCAGCACCATCAATAATAAATTATTCTGTCCTTGCCAGGTCGACATTTCAGCGGTTGACCGATCTGGCTTAATCCATCCACACGTGACATTGCTGTTAGTCAGCAGTCTAGTCCCGCCGCCGAACTTCACCTGATGTTCTCTGATATTTTCGCCTCAAGGACGTCACTTCCCTTCACCATCAAGCTTGCTGTCATCGTTCTGTCCGATCCGGATGTAGCTGCCTTGACCCCTACCTGGGAGTGTCTGTCAAAAATCTCACACTTGGGATCTCCATAGCTGCCAACATGTCTGACGGTATGATGTTTCTCTTCCCCCCCCCCCCCCCCTCTCTCTCTCTCAAACCGCCGTTGTCCTCCGGCCCTGACTGACCGCCCCTTTTCTAGCTGACTTTGAAGCCGTTCGTCGGCTCCAAGCTGAGCGCAATGCTGCTGCAGCTGGAAGTAAAGGTTCTAGGACCTTTGATCCGTCTAGCCAGCGCACTGACAACTCGACCAAGGCCTCCCTGACTGAATCCTTCGACACGACCCTCTACGAACGCGAAGGCGCCGACAAGTTTGCGGGATATGATACCTCGATTGCCGTCAATGGCGACGATGAGGAGATGGAGGACGCGGACGCGGGCCACCGCCTGGTGGGCCAGTACACTGCCACCCGGAGCCAGATCGACGAGTTCGCCCACGGCAACGGGGTGGAAGAGGAGGACATCCTTCTTGGGCGCGAGAAGGCAGCTAGGATCGCCGACCGTGAGACAGACTACCAGAAGCGCCGCTTCAACCGCGGCCCGCTGACTCCCACGCGCGCTGATCCGTTCGCTGCGAACACTCACGCCAATGTAGAAGGGGAGGGGGAAGAGGAGGGCCAGACTTACCGTGAAGTCATGGCCATGCGGGAACTTGAGAAAGAAGAAGAACGTGTCCAGAAGCTGATCGCAGAAAAGCAGGCCCGTGGAGAGAACGATGTCACCGAGCACGAGGCTACGCTGAAGTTGGAAGACAAAGAGAACGCCGACGCCGGCTCCACGGTGGCCGTCGCCTCGGGTCGCAAGCGCAAACAGCGGTGGGATGTAGCTTCAGAGCCGGCTCCTGAGGAGGAGGAGGCTCCCAAGCCCGCTGAAGCCGCCGACACTAAGGCGAAGAGGTCCCGTTGGGATCAGACGCCCGCCCCGGTTGCCCCCGGCGCTGCCGAGGATGCCCCCAAGCGTCGCTCCCGATGGGATCAAGCACCAGCACTTACAGCCGCGACCCCGGTCGGCAACCAAGGGCTTGCCACCCCCATGCATCCCTCCCAAGTAGGTGCACCTTTGATTCCAACTAGCTTTGGAACTGATATCTCTGGACGCAATGCTCCCTTGTCGGACGAAGAGCTTGATATGATGTTGCCGTCGGAGGGCTACAAGATCCTCGACCCTCCTCCAGGATATGCCCCGATCCGGAACCCTGCGAGGAAGCTCATGGCTACTCCAGCACCCATGGCCAGCTCCACTGGTGTTGGTGGTTTCATGATGCAAGAGCCTGAAAGTGCTCGTGCGCTGGGCAAACAGCTTCCAACTGAGATTCCCGGCGTCGGAGACCTCCAATTCTTCAAGCCTGAGGACATGGCCTACTTTGGCAAACTCATGGAAGGAGGTGACGAGAGCTCAATGACAGTCGAGGAGATGAAGGAACGGAAGATCATGCGACTCTTGCTGAAGGTCAAGAACGGCACGCCGCCGATGAGAAAGACAGCCCTGCGTCAGCTCACGGATAACGCACGGCAATTCGGCGCGGGGCCTCTGTTCAACCAGATCCTTCCCCTTCTCATGGAGAAGTCTCTTGAAGACCAGGAGCGCCATCTGTTGGTGAAGGTCATTGACCGTGTTCTCTACAAGTTGGATGATCTCGTTCGTCCCTATGTTCACAAGATCCTTGTGGTTATTGAGCCCTTGCTTATCGACCAAGACTACTACGCCCGTGTTGAGGGTCGAGAAATCATTTCGAACTTGGCGAAGGCCGCTGGTCTAGCCACCATGATCAGTACCATGCGACCGGATATCGACCACGTTGATGAATATGTCCGGAACACGACTGCCCGAGCCTTCGCGGTTGTCGCTTCTGCTCTTGGAATTCCTGCTCTTCTCCCATTCCTTCGTGCTGTATGTCGGAGTAAGAAGTCGTGGCAGGCTAGACACACAGGTGTCAAGATTGTTCAACAAATTCCTATTCTCATGGGCTGCGCCATCCTGCCTCACCTCAAGGGACTGGTAGACTGTATCGCGGACAACCTTAGTGATGAGCAAGCTAAGGTGCGAACGGTCACTGCGCTGGCCGTCGCGGCTTTGGCTGAAGCTGCCAACCCTTATGGTATCGAGAGCTTCGATGAGATTCTCAACCCTCTGTGGACCGGCGCCCGGAAGCAGCGTGGTAAAGGTTTGGCTGCGTTCCTCAAAGCTGTCGGCTACATCATTCCCCTCATGGACGAAGAATATGCCAACTACTATACCAGCCAGATCATGGAGATTCTGCTCCGCGAGTTCGGATCCCCAGATGAAGAGATGAAGAAGGTCGTTCTGAAGGTGGTGTCACAGTGTGCTAGCACGGATGGTGTGACAGCCAGTTACCTCAAAGAGCATGTTCTCACAGACTTTTTCAAAAGTTTCTGGGTGAGGCGTATGGCTTTGGATAGGAGGAATTATCGTCAGGTGGTGGACACGACGGTGGACCTTGGACAGAAGGTGGGAGTGGGTGAGATCCTCGAGCGCGTCGTAAACAATCTCAAGGATGAGAGTGAACCCTACCGGAAGATGACTGTGGAGACCGTGGAGAAGCTTATCGCAGCCCTCGGCGCCGCGGATATCTCCGAGAGACTGGAGGAAAGACTGATTGATGGTGTCCTGTATGCTTTCCAGGAGCAAAGCATTGAGGATATTGTCATCCTGAACGGCTTCGGTACGGTGGTCAACGCCCTTGGCACTCGTTGCAAGCCTTATCTTCCCCAGATTGTCAGTACCATTCTCTGGCGGTTGAACAACAAGTCGGCCACGGTTCGGCAGCAGGCTGCGGACCTCATCTCCCGCATTGCCATGGTTATGAAGCAGTGTGGTGAGGACGCGTTGATGGGCAAGCTTGGTATTGTGCTTTACGAGTACTTGGGTGAGGAGTATCCCGAAGTGCTCGGTTCCATCCTGGGAGCCCTCCGATCTATCGTCACCGTGGTTGGTATCAATCAGATGCAACCGCCGATCAGAGACCTGCTCCCTCGCCTCACGCCTATCCTGCGTAACCGTCACGAAAAGGTCCAGGAGAACACCATCGATCTGGTTGGTCGTATCGCCGACCGTGGCCCCGAATCCGTCAACGCCAGGGAGTGGATGCGTATCTGTTTCGAGCTCCTCGACATGTTGAAGGCCCACAAGAAGGGCATCCGTCGTGCCGCCAACAACACGTTCGGTTTCATCGCCAAGGCCATTGGTCCCCAGGATGTGCTGGCCACGCTGCTCAACAACCTGCGTGTCCAGGAACGTCAATCACGTGTCTGTACTGCTGTTGCCATCGGTATCGTGGCCGAAACCTGCGCGCCGTTCACCGTGCTCCCCGCCCTGATGAATGAGTACCGGGTGCCCGAGCTGAACGTGCAGAACGGTGTCCTCAAGGCTATGTCCTTCCTGTTCGAATACATCGGCGAGATGGCCAAGGACTACGTCTACGCAGTCACGCCGCTCCTCGAGGACGCCCTGATCGACCGCGACCAGGTGCACCGTCAGACGGCCGCCAGCGTGGTGAAGCACATCGCGCTGGGCGTCGTGGGTCTCGGATGCGAAGACGCCATGGTCCACCTCCTGAACCTGGTCTTCCCCAACATCTTCGAGACCAGCCCGCACGTCATCGACCGGGTCATCGAGGCCATCGACGCCATCCGTATGGCCGTCGGCACGGGAACCGTCATGAACTACGTCTGGGCCGGCCTGTTCCACCCCGCCCGCAAGGTCCGCGTCCCCTACTGGCGCCTCTACAACGACGCGTATGTGCAGAGCGCAGATGCAATGATTCCATACTACCCCAACCTCGAAGATGACGGCTTGGATCGCTCCGAATTGTCCATTATCGTTTGATTTGATTCCCCCCTCCCCGTCAAATCTCAACCCTTTTTTTTTTTCATCGTGGTTCATGTATGTAAACAATCTGGTACTAGCTACGTATTACTGGGCTACTTTTTCATCATCATTTCCATCATTTCACTTTCACCTGTCAGCATCAATCATATCACACTGGGGACCTGTTCACTATTACGGTGTTTTGCCGAGGCTGGATTTGGCGTGTTTTTTTTTTTCTGTTTATCGATTCTTATATGTGGGAGAAATCAGTCCAATGGCATTTTTTAACGTTCAAGTCCAATGGTCAGAAGTGTAGTATCTGGAACCGGGGAACTCTCTGGCTTAGCCTTCTACGTAATGTCTTCTTTTCGATGTGGAACCATCGGGCTGTATCGACCTCTTTCCTACTTGTCCTGCTCCGAATGTGGGAGTTTACCCTTTGTCTAGTCCGGACATCGCATGTCTCTGGCGAAGACTATACGGTCCTGCGGCTGACAAGATTGCTGGAAAATGATGATACTTAGCTTGCCAGGGATCATCAGGCTGACTTCGCAGGGAGAATGATACACTGTAGATTAAGGAGGAACAATAGGAGAATGAACGAGTGGGTGAAGTATATTATCCTATCCTATCCTATCCTGTCATGTGAATTCCACAACCGTCACCTTTCACTTCTCATTCATTCTCCACCGAGATCATCCCTCATCACGCCAGGCGCCCCGTCTCAATCGCCGCCTCCATCATGCGATCCCCATTCACGATGCCCGTCGAGCAGATGATGATCCGGCGCCGGGACGCCTCCTGGGCGGCGATGAACCGCAGGGCGGCGATCTCGGTGAACGTAATGCCGCCCAGGAAGAAGACATAGACCGTCTTGATGGCCGGGGCGCCGCTGATGGTCTGGCGGGCGCGCACGGCCTTGTCGTCGCCCTTCTGCACGAGGCTGAACGTCGCGCCGCGGGCGCTCTTGACCACGTCCTCGAAGCCCAGCCAGCCCGGCGAGGAGGTGGTCGCGCTGGCGGGGGCCGGGGCCTGGGTTGGGGCGGCCACGGGCCCACCGCGCGCCAGGGAGAGGATGTAGGGTTTCTGCAGGACGCACTGCACCAGGCGGATGCTCAGCGGGGCGAAGCCGCTGTAGACGTAGGCGATGTCGTTGGGGTCCTTTTCGCTGACTTCCTCGACGACGAGGCGCAGGGTTTTGCGGAGGGTGTTGTAGTTGGTGCGCGGGCTTGTGCTGTGTTGGTGGTGGTGGGGAGAACCTCCTGTGGCGGCGGCAGTGGTGGTGGTAGTGGGAAGGAGGAGGGAGGTGGGGTTGGTAGGGGCGCGGGGCTGAAGGAGTTGCATCTTCTCGAGGGCGCAGAAGGTCAGGATGTGCTGGTGGCCGTAGGCTTGGACGATCTGGCGCTTGAAATTCTCGAGGTCCCGCGGCCGCAGACCGCCGGACATGCAGGATTCGAGGCACAGGAGGCGCAGGACGGCGGGCAGGGCGACGTCGCGGGCGATGAGCTCCTCCACCGCGTCGTGGTGGTAGGTCGGGTCGGAGCCTGCGGCGTAGTTCTGCTGCACTTCCAGGAGCTTGCGGAAGATGTCGGCGCGGGTGGTGCGCATGATCTCCTCGGCGAGGTTGGTGTGCACCCGCAGGCTCTGGTGCTCGAGCTGGTAGGAGGGGAGTTTGTTGACGAACTCGCGCAGCTCCGTCGTGGTCTTGGCCGAGTGGCGGCTTTCATAGTCGCTCTCGAGGCGCCGCGCGACTTTGTTGAGGATGTCGCCGACAATGGCGAAGTTGGCGTCCCGCAGTTGGCTGAAGAGCTGATCTGATGAGTCAAGTTGAATCTTGCGCTTCTGGTGCTGCTTGGAGGACGAGGGCTGTTGCGGGCCTTTGGAGGATTCCTGCGCTTGCGGAACAGTAGCCGCCCCGCCGATGATAGAGGTGTCGATATCGGCTTGGTTGTTCTTGATGCCGACTGTCTCGTCGATGAGGCCTTCGTAGGTCAGTTGAGTGAGGAGCGGGGTGCCAAAGTCGACTTCGCGGTCGATGATGATGAGGCTCTCTGTGCTTGCACTGGGCAATAGACCGCGGGCTGACACTCCGGCGAGCCCGGAGCTCTCTTCAGCGTCCAGCTCCTTTCTCATTCGGAGAAGCAGGTCGGCCAGTCGTCTTGCATGGTCACCCTTGCCGATAATCCGAGGAAAGTAACCGTGCCTCTGCTGAATGTCCATCAGGGCCTTCGCGGAGTGGAAGATGCATCCTGGATCTTTGTGCTACATGGATGTTGGTTACTTGCGTTTTGAGGAACATGCTGCACCGGGCAAGCTTACCAGGTAGAGATCACTAAAGGCGCCCTCCATCTCCAGAGACAGGACATCCTGTTCCAGCGGCATGAAATACAGCGGGAATTCGGCGATGTTCACGTCTCCGATTATGCCCGCTTCCTCGAGGATTGTATTGCTAACAAGTGTCCGTCTTGGAACCCAGAAAATAGAGATCTCATGTTCAATGCTGCCATTGCGCTGGAGGCGCTTGACCTGTTCTAGAGGCATGTTAGCTCATACTGATGACCTTCAATCAGACAAGTAAGAGATAGAAAGCCTATGAATGAGCTGGTATCTTCAACACTGGTTGATATTGGGAGCGCGTGACTGGCTACGTAGAGTAGAGGGGAGTCTGCGCGCTTTACAGTCTGTCCCAAGCAAGACTCTCCTAGGTAGAAGGAGTGATATCCAGCTTATTTTACGAAGCAGGCGTGCTGAGGGGCTGAGGGTGGTAAACAGGAAGAAATCGACGTACCTGCCACAGCCCGCACTTGAGCAAGCTTCTCAGCGTTCGCTAAGAAGACGACATTGCGTTGAGAAGAGTCCACATTGCCATTTTCCAGGAGGAAGACGCGATCTACACCGTACTCTTGGAGCAAAGAGAACTTGACGAACAGTCCGACTGGACCAGCCAGGTCTTGACTGACGATGAGGTTCTTCTTACCGCGTACCTGCACCGAAGGATTCAGCTGATGTACACGGGCAACCAGAGGTTGAAGCAAGCCTTACTCACGCCTTCGAGGAGGGTCAACAGATCCCTACGCGCCTTGTCCTTGAAGTAGTCTGCATCAGACCCCGGATACGGCGCCATGACTGCCAATGAGCATTACTGGAAAGGAGGAAATTCGTTAAGATCGTTAAGATGGTCAAGTTGGCTAGTTGGTTAGTTGGTTAAGTTGGTTCAGTCGGAGATACGCGCGCGGACGTTTCCGGCGGGCGATGGTTTGGTTTGGTTGGTTTGGTTGGTTTGGAAGGAGGCTTGGAAGGGTCCAGCCACTGCACTAACCATTGTAGGCTTAGTGGAAACACAGCCTGTTACAGCTCTCTGGTACTGAGACCGTCATAACAGCCTTTATCCTCCTGAATAGCAGCCATCACCAATGAAATGAGATTACCCTCCGCCCTCCACCCCCCCATTCCGATCATTCCAATTATAGTGCCTGAGGCCTTGCTGCTCCCCTGAACGTTGCCTGCCTGTCTTTCGCCCCTCTTACATCCATCTATCTCCTTTTCTTCGTTTCCCTAAAATTTCCTCTTACTCTACCATTATCTGTCCTTCTTGAGAAACTGGATTCTACCACCCGCTGGTCGTTCCGACAAATTGACATTCTTACCCTAAAACCCACTCGACCACAGATCAACCGCCATGGGCAGGTTCGGCTTCAAAAAGTCCGGGGACGAGGACGATTCCTCCAACCGCCTGGCGCTGTTTGGCTCCCGATCGAAGAGCAAGAGCCCAGCACCTCCAGCCAACCCCTATGCGAAACCCATCCCCACCGATCCCTACACCAAAGCCAAGATCCAAGCTGGCGTCGCCCCTCTTCCAGCTGGGGAGCAACCCGCCGCTCCGGCTCCTGGTCCCGCCAGCATCCCCGGAGACAATAAACAAGGCTATGCGCCGAACCGATATGGAAACCAGGGTGGATATGGATCGGATCGCTTCGGGGGCAGCGCCAACAGTGGAGCGTCGCCAGCAGGCTCCCGGTACGGCCCCGGTGGCTACGGAGGGCTAGGCAGCACCGATCCCAACGACTCCGCCGCCGCGGATGCCAACAGAGATGCACTTTTCGGAGGAGCAAGGGAACGAGCAGAGCAGCAGCAGCCTCAGGCCGGCGGTCCCCCGCCGCCTTACTCGGAGGGCGGTGCGGCCTACGGCGGCGGCAGTAACGACTACAACACATCGACCTACCAGGAACGGCATCTGACCGCGGAGGAAGAGGAGGAGGAGGAGATCCAGACCATCAAGCAGGAAATCCGCTTCATCAAGCAGGGGGACGTGGCTTCGACCCGCAACGCGCTCCGCATTGCGGCGCAGGCGGAGGAGACCGGTCGGGAGACGCTGGCTCGGTTGGGCGCGCAGGGCGAACGCATCCATGATGCGGAGCGGAGCTTGGACGTGGCGACCATCGAGGGCCGGATTGCCGAGGAGAAGGCCAAGGAGCTCAAGACCCTCAACAAGAGCATGTTCGCGGTGCACGTCTCCAACCCCTTCACCAGTGCCCGGCGGCGGCGCGAGCGCGACGAGCGGATCCTGGACACCCACCGACAGGAGCGGGAGACCCGCGACGGCACGCGGAACGAGGCCTTCAAGACCAACCAGCGGATGGAGCGCACGTTCCGGGAGATCGACCGCGAGGCGAGCAAGCAGACCACGCGGGGCCGGACCAACGTCGCCGACCGTGCCAAGTATCAGTTCGAGGCGGATAGTGAGGACGAGGCGATGGAGAACGAGATCGAGCAGAACCTGGACCTGCTTGGCGGTGCCGCAAGCCGTCTGAACGGTCTCGCCAAAGCCACGGGTCGGGAGCTGGACGAGCAAAACCGTCACTTGGAACGTATCACGGGCAAGGTAAGAATCTCTGGCTTATGGATCCTGAACGTGAGGCTAACAAACCTTCTAGAGCGACTTTGTCGACGAGCAAATCGCCATGAACCGTGCCAAGCTGGACCGGATCCGTTAGAAATACCCCATAATAAACGTTTTGTTGACTGCCTGGCGCTGTCGCACTTTTCCCTTGATCAAATGCACATATCCCATCTGCTCGGCGTTCCTAGGTATACTGCATTCGTACTTGATGAGACACTACAGTTGATATTATTAAAATACTGCAGAATCTTGCTTGGCGGGAGAAAGTAATTGCAATCCAATAGAATCCTGTGCTTTGCTAGCAGCCTGGTGCCTATCCTCCCAACTTTTGCAGAGTAAGAACGACTATTCTTAACGCTGTAGCTCAGCCATACATACTGTACACACGCACTGTACATACACCACTAAACCGACCATTTATCATGCAACCCCATAGTTGCAAAATCTCAAACAACCCCAGCACGCCCCGAACTGGGCACTCCCGACCCTGTCCCGAATATCCCTCATTTAATCAATCTTATACACAAGCCCTCACTCGACGCGTCAACCAAGTAATCTCAATCTGAAACACCACCCACCACCTGCGAGATTTAATCTTAATCCGAGGAATGTTCTGCGTCCACTCAATACACATAGTATATTATATTCAAGATAGTCCAGTCCCACTTTCATATTCCCACATGTTTCATTCTCTTTTCCAGCCCCCCCAGTCACCAACACAGATCGGAGGATTTTCTGAATCCCCCAACGGTTTTTGATTCACATAGTATAAGTGCTCTCCACACCTGCTAATTCTGATGTTAGTCTAACTGTTTCTCGATCTCAGATTTGTAGGTATATTTTCTCTTGCACTTTAAGATACGTAGTAATATTAACGCTAAAACCCAGACTACGTCAGCTTCTTTCGGGCGGACGATTACTTCAGGATGGTTAGTTAACTTGTGTCTTAGAACAATAACGGCTCGCGCGTCTGGACGGTGTGTTCTGTGTAGACCGTAGCCCGTGTCTCAGATGCCATATTGTCAAAGTCTGTCAGAGGATGTGCCTTCCTATCTGGATCTGTGGTTTGGGATGTGCCCGACGGGCAAAGGGGTAAGCTTCTCTTGACTCGGGGTGGAAATCAAACAGACACACCGTTTTCGGCTTTGGATGAAGCAGATGTCCGTCTCGAGGGTTGACAATGCCATGCGAGTTCATGAATGCTCTCTGGTTGGTTCGGGGACGCGGGAATGGTAAGTGTCTAGATGTATTTACTAGTGGCTCGGTTAGGGTGATGTGAAGTTTGTCTTGGTGGAGGATGTGTAGATGGGCTTAGTCCTCTCCTTTCTCGAAGGTTCTTGCAGTCATCGTATACCTGTGGTAAAAGCCTTGTTCGCGGTCTCCTCCATATATTGTTTGTGTTTGTATGTGTAGATAATCCGTCAGGGTGGGTGTGATATAGGTGTAAAGTGAACAATGGTGCAGCGAAGCACCTCGTTGAGTCCTGGGGACAGATGGGAAAGACATTGAGTGGCGTTTGATGGACTCTCGAGGTCTCCTTCGTAGCTGTAGCTTGGAGTAGTGTGTCTTTGTGGTTGAGTGCTTGTGAGGAAATTTGTCCTGTTTCTGGTAAAAGGTATTAGATTTGTGCTGGTGTTGGTTGTCTGCTACCCCAATGCAATCGGTCGAGCGAGGTGAGAATCGCTAAAGACAAGCGGGTTCATGATTAAGGAGGATATTTCAATCTTCCTTTCTCATAAGGTAAAAGAGGAAAAAGACTAGATGATGGTGTGGCGTCCTGATACTTGGCGACCTTCCAGGCGCTTAGCAGTATATTTGTCTCGATAAGAGCGAGCATGAACCAACCCGACGCCAGCTTTGAGATACCCAAGAACCTTAAAGAGATATCCAGCAAGTAGGAACATTCTGCCTGGCCAACTTGGCTCACCAGGAGTGCATGTTCTGCGGTGCGGCGCTTAGTCGAAACCTTGCGGGTTCTATCTCCGTCTCATTAGGCCTTGGCCTTGCTTCTATACCATATCATGCACTCGACTCGCCAGGCTCTCGCCATTGCCTTCTATTGTGGCACAGTTGAGGGCGTGTTGGAGTTATTGATAACGAGCTGTGCCCTGCTGAAGGATCAGTAGCAGTGATGTGGCATCTTTGGTAGTTGTAGATGTTGGATAACTTCACCATCCTCATGCCTTGGGCTTCGCCGCAACATGTCTATATTTGGCGAGGCATACTTAGGATGCCAACCTGGCACGGAGATGCTGCTCTGCTGCAGGGACAAGAGAGGGGCAGAGGTCAGCTGCTGTGGGAGGTGAACATTGGCACATTCACTGTAGAGGAAGTGACCATAGCATAATAAGAGTAACACCCTCCTGGCAATTGTCTGATATCATCTCAACTCATCTCATCTCTCAGGTCTCATCATCTCTACCACCCGAAAGTCCCTCTACACCTCCCTCTACATCCCACACTCAACTCAAAGACATCATCATCCAGAAGACAAAACCACCAAGATGCGTCTCCTCGAGTCCCTCCTCAAGACCCTCCTCATCCTCCTCAGCATCCTTAGCTTCACCACCGCAGTCCCCTTCTCCTCCCCTCGCACCACCGAAACAGAAACCGAAATCGAACTTCACCCACCGAACGCCGTCCACCTAGCAACCAGCTTCATCTCCCTCTCCCACGCCCTCTCCTCGCTGCGCCTAACCAAGTGCCCCCTCGACGTTGTCTCCATCAACCAAACCACCAGCAAACGCTCAGCAGGAATCCCCAAACGAGGACACGAGGAAGCAGCAGCAGCAGCACCGCACCTCAGTCCCCCCTCCGCCCACCTCTCCCTCAAATTCATCGCCCTCGGCCGCGGCACGCAGAACTACACCTGCCCGACCACCTCGAAGGACAACACCCCCAAGAATTCATCTGCAACCCCCATCGCCACCGGCGCCGTCGCCACGCTCTACGACATCTCCTGCCTCGCCGCAACCCCGAAGGACCATGCGCTGCGATTCCTCCACGCCCTCCCAGGATTCACCCGGGCCATCCCGCAGGAAGTCCTAGCCTTCTATGCCGTGATGCTGTCCCAGTCCGCAATCATCGGGGAGCATTACTTCTCACCCTCCCAATCTTCTTCCACCACCTCGACCACCGCAGCCGCAGCAATGCCCGTCTTCGATCTCCGCCCCGCGACCTTCGGAAAACAAGGCGGAAGATACGAGTCCAACTGGGTCAAGGCCAAGAAGGTGGAGAGTGTGAATGCCCCTGGTAGCGGAGGCGATGATGTGCCCTGGTTGAAGATGGTTTCGGTGGAGGGATCTGGTATCCAGGTTCGTTCTTCTTCCTTCCTTGCTCATGCAACCCCAGAAACGGATGGGTTGTATAGGTGACAGACGATATGCTAACTAGGCGAATGCCCCTTCTACAGGAGATATATCGTGTCCACACGGCGGGAGGGATGAGTCCGGCGACTTGCGCGGCGCACGAGGGGGAGTTTGGGGTGGAGTATGCGGCGGAGTATTGGTTTTATGGATGAGGTGTTCCCAGTTCTGTGGTTTGATTTGAATTGGTTCCATCAGGAATGCCGGTTCACATGCATGGGATATGGTGGATTTGAATGGTGAAACGAGGGATATGATGCGATGATGAATGATGAGTGCGCCTGTTTACTGGGATTTGAGATGGGAGAATACCGTGCTACCATCATGGATTTGTCCATACCTGCTAGTCCGTAATCATGATATCGAGATAATGGGACCAGTTCCAAGCAATGGGCCTTCTACAACGTTCTTTCTTCGATCAGGAGTTGATGCCATGCATTGAATAGGTACATGCAAGACTTGCATCCCAGTCACAAGGCAGTTGAGTGGTAGATGCGTATACTCAGTTGAATGTCGCTGACACACACTGCCTGTCCGTGCCGCAGATATCAGGCAATGTGCAGAAGTATCGTAAGCAGGGTTGAATATCCATCCTCATACGCAGAATAATCAGGAAAGGCCGTGAGTGGGAGCTCTAGGGTCAGAGGTGTTGAAAGTGATCATCTAACAAGAACTCGATCATTGCACCTTCAGCCTAGAAAGCACCCTAAGGCCCCTGATATAAAAGACATTGCAGGCAGCCCTTGATTATATCTCTGTGACTGGATATCCAATCCATACTACTGCCTGTCCAATCCTCCTTCAATGCAAGTGAGCGTTCGTGCCAACTCCAAATGTCAAAAGCAAACAGCCTATACTTGCAGGAGTCCAAATTTACGCGCAAGGATGTTAGGGATCTGGTAAGTTGGAGCTACCTGTGTGGCAAGGGTGCCCTGCCCTTAAGTCTATACTCCAGCTGGCTCTGGCTCTGGCTCCGGCTCTGGCGTTCACTAGCCATATCATATACAAAAGGCCATCAACTTACGAAGAGAATGTAGGGGCAGGGTTTCAGTTATCTGCCTGGCCACCCGTTGATGACTGCAGCAGAAAGTGTAGTTGCTCTCCAAGTCATTCTTCCGTTCGTCCTTCCTGTTGTCGACCCATGTGTAAGACATTATTCCTTTACATGGAGGGTCAATGCTCATAGGAGAGTACTGTACAAATAAAATATATCTCGAGTGGCTCTCGCCTGGCGAAGAAGACATGAACCTAGATAATGTATTCTCCTATCTCGGTGTGTTCGAGTTGATAACAGCTCCATCTACATGCGATATCTACAATATACAAGCGAGTATACGAGTACTGGTATATCTTATCGATAAGCCCCTAGAATGACTTAAGAGAACAACCCTATTGTCCGGCATGGTCCCTGGGTACGGAGTCCCCAGGTACCATAACCACAGCCAGCACCCCTAACACAATTAACCCATCCCATCCATCATGATCGTTTCACACCGTACAGTATCACCCAAAATCCCGAGTCCAACTCCGTAGGTACAGTACCTTGACTATCAACCCTACTCCAACCCCTATCCAAAGATCCAAAATAGCAACAACAGCAACAACAGCAACAACAGCAACGATGATGATGATGATGATGAGAACCATCCAAGCGGATGAGGTAATAATTGTACAGTAGTAATTGTCTTAGCGAGAAAAGCGCAACAGCAGTGACTTCATTCCCTAGTTGCTGTGAAAAGCCGCGTAAGCCGGACTCCAGCCGGCCCCCCCCATTGTCAATATGAGTGGTTCTTGGCGTGCGTCGCAACGGTCGGTTGTGATTCGATGTAAAAAGTCAAGTGGAGAATGGAAGAGGCCCCAGGTTCCCGAGTTCAAGAAAAAAAGTTTCCGTTTTACACACGTACATCTACTTTGGGATATGTATACTTAGAAACTTGGTATGCGGGTTGTCCTATGTAGTATACTACCGTCGTGGTGGTGGAATACCTGGTTGCCACTGTCTTTGCTGGGTTACTTATTTGGTTAAAAGGGGTAGGAGTTGGAAGCGGGAGGGGTGGGTGTGGTTGGGGTTTTTCCGTGGGTTGGGATGCAGGTATTGATTGTGTCTATGAGTATCGAAATCTACTCATTTTGTGTATAAAAAAAGAGACTTGAGGTGGTGGTGGTGGATGGAGTAGGATCAATGAGTTGCTCGGGGGCTTGTTGATGATGATATTCAGTCGCATTATACAATGAATACACGCACATTGCAGACTTAGTATGTGCTATGCTGATTATAGCTAGACGTACCTTACCACATTATCCAGAGGGAAACCCCTTGAAGATCAACCCCAAGCTCCAACGTCTATACACAATAACTACCAAGCATGAGGCTCGGAAGAATAAATGTGCAACTACCATAGCACCCAGATGAAACACCACGAATGTCGTGCTCGCGATCCTGAGGGACTTCGCAAGCAGCATTACGACGCTCAATCTCAACCGCCGCGGGCGATGAGCTCTGACCCGAGGGACATGTGAAGGAAGGAAGGACGCCCCAGGAAGAAAAGGTCCAGATGGTAAAAGGTGGTAGGTATCCCGAACTTCCAATGCGTTGTTGTTGTCGCTGTACTAATTATAATTGGATATATGGTTGATCCCTGTCACCCAGTACGGTTTGTCTGTATACTCGACGAAAGAGGGGTGGTGGATCTGAGACTCGGAAATGCAGGGAAGCCCATCTACCTCCCTTATCTGGACTAAGTCGTTCAGATCGTTCATTTAGTTCCCGTGTCTTGTCTTCTTCTCCTCTGTGCATGTCCAACACGCGGGACGGGGGGAGAGAACTTATGACGTTGCGTAGGTAGCAGTAGCTTCCTATTTCCCAGCGAGGACTAAATGCAGGGTCTACCAGAATAAGAGAATGAGGAATATAATTAGATTGTCGAGAGAGGAGTATACCCGTTCTTTCGCCTTCAGATAGATTGCTTTCGACGCATTGATCCAGCGCTAGTGATTTCCGAGTAAGTACTTTAAGTTAAGTGACGTGAGTAAGTAAGTGAGAGTGGGTGAGTGGTGAGAGCGTTAGCTTGTGAATCTCAACTGATTCTACTGGACTGAACTCAACTCCGATCGGATCTACCATCCCACCGTCGCCTAAGCAAGCCACGCAATCAACATACAACCAACCATCAGATAACACCTCCAATCCCTGATGCTGATGCTGCTGCTGCTGCTGCTGCTGCTGATGTAGTGAGCAGAGAACAATGACCAACTGTAAACCAATTCATCAAATAAGCTGACATATGCCAAGGCCGGCCCATCTCCACTTTCTGCACACTAGGTTTGTTTTCCCGCCCACCGGAGTTCTCACGGGAGTCCTCGAGTCCTGAGGCTTGCCGTCGCAGGAAGCTTGGTACTCGAGCGGTGGTTTGGTTTTTCAGGGTCCTTGGTTCCGCGGCTTGCGGCCGTTCCTGACTGGGTTGGCCATGTCTTACTTGTCTGTCTCAGGATAGAACATGCGGTCGTCAACCTTGAAGACTTACGCGTCACAAGAGAAGGGTGGTGATGATGATGATGATGATGATGATGATGGTGGCCAGTGAGCACGGAGTAGTCAGGCCCTGAATTGCCGGACGGAAAACTGACTGACGCACAGACACACAGCAACAGAAAGAAAAGAGAGAGCTGAAGAGTGAACCTGCCAGGGATGTTTGCGCTTGGCTTGGAAGTCTTGGTCAACCTGTCCTGTCCTTTTCCCTTTTCCCTTTTCCCTTTTCCCTTTTCCCTTTTCCCTTCTCCCCCACTATTCTCCTCTAGTCCCCTGACGGTCTCTCAGTCCATCTCACGCCAGAGGATCAGTAGATTCTCAGCACAACAAACAGTCTGGACTCTAGACTGTAGATGAGTGAGAGGGTGGGAAAAAATTGACCTGCCTATTCTAGGCTCCCTCGATGTTCAGCCCCTTTCAAAAATCGCGAACTATTGTAACACTACGGAGTACACTACGAGGCGGGGAATGGATGTGGAATTTCTCATAGTGACCTCTCGCTCTCGCTCTCGCTCTCCCAGCAACCTGAACTAGAAATGAGCCAAGTGGTGGTGCGACCTTTTCAGTTGCCTCGTCTCCTCTCTCTTTCCTCCCCCCTTAAAGTGTGATACTACCTTCCTATACCTTACAAGTGTAGAAGCCAGTCTTTCAGGAAGAATCATCTGCCTGTCCACCTGTCCAGAGCAGAACGAATCACTCCAACATGACAACCCGCCCGCCGCCCGCTTCCCATTTCCGCAGGTGATATCATGGGCTGGAACTTTTACCCCCTCCCCATAGTTAATAATGCCCCCTCTGTGTGTGTGTCTCCCCAAAGTTCCCAACCAACCAACCAACCGGAAGAGCCACAATTAGCCTCTTGTAGGATAGTGTGCTAGCATGGATGTTGTTCTTGTGAAGAGAAGATAGTGGAGCCCGAAGAATAGCGGTTCAGTGTTGGCGTTGGCTGGCGGGCGGGCGGGCGCGGTCGAGTTCTGAATTGCTTGGCTGGATCCCCGACAGGCAAAAGGGAAAAGAAAAGAAAAAAAAAACCTGGACCGGCGCGTTTCAGGTGGTCACTAGTTCCTGTAACCCTGAGAAGAGAAAACAAACCACAAGTCGTGGCAGTTGACTTCTGTATGGTTCAAAATGGGGCCTTGCCGGGGGGAGGAGGGGTGGTTTCCAATGGAGCCCGACATCTCAGGGCTCTACGGAGTGTACACACACTTTCTTTTTTTGAGTTCGGACTTAATTGTCAGTTTTTGGGGGTTGTTGAAGCACTGAATTAGAGTTGGGCTGGGATTTTTTTTGGTCAAAAGTATGTCTTTCGGCATTGAGCGACTGACAGATTTTACCGCCCCGGTCTTGGTAGGTACCAAGCAAAATAAGCCTCTCCTCGTCTCATTCCTATTCTGCGCGTACTATCTGTGTTGTTGACCTGATGATGATGATGATGATGATAATAATGATGAGTGTCTTATGTGAAATGTTTGCATAGTGAACACTAGTTAGTAGTCTCTCTCCCCCCCTCCCCCCCATCAATGGGAAGTCACTAAATAGCCCTGCGCTGATTAGCTACCTATAATCTATCACAAATATAACCAAGGAAAATCTAAGGGTGGAAAAAACAAAAATACCACAAACAACAACACAAAAAAGAAACCCTTGCGCCTAAACAGGGCAAGCCATATGCCTGAGCAGGAATAGCGCAGGGCTCCGCTCCCCGGGCTTGAAGCAGAATAGCGTGGGATGGAAATGTGCACGCGTCAGCTTGTGGGTGGGGCATCGAGTCTGATTGGGCCATCTGTCGGAGCCAAGCTCGGCTATCGACTATCTGCCGTCCCCCGGGGGAAAGTTGCGGCTGCGTTAGCATGCTCTCTCTGCCTTTGGTCTAGCGCAGGGATTTGGAGATTGATTTTCTTTCCTTTTATCTTTTTTGCTTTTCTTTTCTTTCCTTTTTCATCTTCCCTTTGCCTGCCAATAGCGTTCTGCTCGCGCGGGTTTGCTGTTCTCATCGCAGGTGGCTTGCTTATTCGGAGGGGAGCGTGATCTTACAGCTACGGAGTACTTGCTCGGGGAGTACTAGGTACACAAAGTAAATGTGCGCGGGGAGTGTCTGAGGTACTTCATTTTTTGAGCCGCCCCGCTGGTGGTGATGTTGAATCTCGAAGTTGCCACCGGGGTTTCCGCCTCATTCCGCGGGAAAGTATGATTTGTACGAGGTTGCCCGTACAATCCGTTGACAGTCTTGCTGTGGCTGAGGATTAAACAGTACGCATGTAAATAACTACTAAGCTAGACACAGTGCAGTTGCACCTGCAGAATTCAGCTTCAGTCTTTCTTATTGACTACGGGGATTTACCGGAATCCCACGCCAATGAGGGAGAACATGTATACTTGATTTCATTAAGTATCCATCCATCATATCAAACTGCGCAGAGCCTTTTTTTCCCCCGGCTACGGTCCCTGTTCCCTTCAATTGCCTCCGATTCTGCACCCCCACTTTCTTTCCTCTTCCCCTGCTCCGAGAACAACCCAAGGGATTGGAGGGACCCATGTTTCTATCCATAGGTTTACAGGAGGGCTCTCCAATCAGTGACCGGTGACCAGTGGTTACTGACCACCTACACCCCGGTCTAAAGTTAACCCCAAGTCTCCGTCTGGGCGGGACTGTCAAAAAATTCAGCCATGGGACTTGCGAAAGAAAGGTAAGCTAGACCTGCCACTACGGAAACGAACCAGATGAAGGTGATGGTTCGTTCTCGGTTCTACTCCATATCCCGAAGAAGCGGAGACCATGTGTTGGTGGCTTGTACTCATAGTTCTGAGGGCTCCGCTTCCCGCAACTGTTGAGTACGGTACCTCGAGTCGTAGCTTTTACCCTTTTCCTGATTGGTAAACTTCAAGGTTGATGCTAAAACCTATCCAAATTTCTGGACATCGAACGAGAGAGAACGCTACACCCAAAACCGCAAAAGAACATCGATGGAAAGTTCAGTCGGGGTTCGATTTCGCTTGGCACGCGTGATCTCCCTCTCTCACATTGCCTCTGGATCCCGAACGTCTGGTACAATGAAAAGGGATTTTGCCCCTGCAGGACATCCACAATTGGGGATTGAGTTTTCTGATATCCCTCTTTGAGGTGTTTCTTGGGTGTAGTGCTCTGTAGGAGCAGTAAAGCTACTGGATCATGGGGCTAGCTGGCTGGCTGGTTTCAGCGGCTGCATGCCGAGAGATATCACCTACTGTCTGATGAACTACTGACCAAAAGGGATAATGAGTTACCTACTACTATGGGTAGGATGATTGAAGAGACGGCACTGTGCTAGGACAATCGAGCCACCGCCATGCCTAGGTAGGTAGTAAGTCGCTCATACAAGTATACTCAACCCATCCCTATACATCTATCTTTCTTTCAAACTCCTCTCATCTTACCGTACACATCTACATACACATCCCAGATCCAACCAGCCACTTTGATACTATACCCGTATATGCAGATTTCCACTATAATCTACCGTACATCCCCTTGAACGCCATCATGTTAATCACCGACGATCTGCCGCTCGGTGGGATCCTGCCAAGAACGAGAGAAAAAGGGGCCCCGTGCAGATTTGACAGATTGTCTAAAAATCCCTTTTCCTTTTTTTTTTTTCTTTAATTCGGTTGTGATCGAATTTCCCTTTTCGTCCAGTACCCTTCGTCTCCTTTCCCTTTCCCCTGACGGAAGTGCGTGCGAGCTCAACACAGGTGGAGTCCATGAACTTCGGGCCAGGTGCGCTTCGTTTTAGAATTCTACTGGTAGGTACATAGTAGTTAAGCAAGTCCCTCTTTGCTGTCAAACTGGATCCAGTTCTATAGGTAAGGTAGTGTGAAATCAAACTCCCGAACAAGGAAAGTGTGTCTGTGTTCCGAATTAATCCAGTTCCTCCCGCGATGGCAGATTTCCTGTTCCTGAATTTTTGCAAGACAGTTTGGCGCCTTGGCTATGATCGAGACCCGGGGGGGGGGGTTGAGGTTCCAGATCATTGGGGGATGGGGGGGGGGGAATGTCAGCTTCACTAGGGCAGTTCAGGTACTGCAGATCTTAGTTACTCCATGCACTACTACCGTATGTGTGATGTGTGTGTGTGTGCCTGTGAGAGTGATCTTCGATCGCTTGTCTCTGATCGCTAGGGCTTATCGATACTGCCAACACTATAATCAACTATAAGTATGTAGTGTACCTAGTTAATAGCAATAGTCAGATGCACTCGAGTATCATAGTGGCATACCTAGCCTCACAATTACAGCAGCACACCACCACATCACCATCACTCAGCGGTTTCTATAGATTTACCGTCTGCTCCACAGGGTCTTGTTCCAGCCAGCCGGCCATGTGCCATATCCCAATTTGCCAAGACGCTGGCCGCCAGCTCGCTTCGGTTTACACATGGGCCACCCACTCCATCCCCTTCGCTCCCCCTTGGACAGGACAGCAGATATACTTGTTGCGGCTACTGTGAACTGTGAATCTGTTGAAAGGGGTGGGGCGAGTTCATGAGCTCCCTGCCCTTCTCTCCCGCGTGGAATATGGCTTCCGCTGTTAAAATTAGAAGCCAAGATGAACTTAGTAGGGACTTGTAAGTGTGCTGTGCATGCTGTAATTTCGCTTCTACTGCCAGTGCAGTTAGGGTGTTCGTAGTGTCTGGTGGAGAAGAACTCAGAAGTTGTAAGGGTATCCGATCCCGGTGCTTCCGCGAGGAAAATGCCTGAGGATATCTGAGCCTGTTATGCAGTGTAGTATCTTGGTTATACTTCAGGCTTGTATCTAGGCAACTCAGCGAAAAAGCAGGCAAGCACTGGGCAATCCACCACTGAGAGTACGAAAGGACGGAGTAGTCCATAGCGTGAGCAAGCAAGCATGCATACAAAAAAAAGCCACAATGCAAGTAGATGGTGTATTGAGCCGCGCCACCAACATCAATCATGCATCAATAGATTAGTAGGTGCCCTCAAGAGGCTGTGTCCTCATAGTTTGGGAGTCGGGAGCAGAAGGGAAAGTCAGTCGGTATCTACTATGTAGAGCTGACCTGCAAATAAGGAAGGCAGAGCGGGTGGCCCGCAGATCCACTCCCTACATCTCTCCCGTTCTTAAAGTACCGGTAGAGTAGAGTGACGAACAAACCACCTCAAAAAGCCAACCACTTAAACTGAGTTATTTCAGTGAGCAAGCACACTGGCAAACCTTTGGCATCCTAACCCAGAAGAGGATAGGGTTTTCCCCACCGGGTTACTCGATTGGGGCTCCCCGCAATGGGGGGGGGGGGAGGGTGAAATCAGATTCTTGACTCCTCCTTGAGGGAGAGGGGCACAGCAGTCAGGACTCAGCTTAAACTGAAAGTGGGTATGTGGCTTGATGATTGGGTGACCGTTTATGGAGCCCAGGTTACGCGTTTTTGGGGAGATGATGTGCCGTGTCAAAGCTAACACTTTAAATTGGCACAAAAAAGAAAAAGAAAAATGGATGGCCCTGGAGGGGCTTCCCGGGAGATGGTGTGTGTGAGAAATCCACCCACATCCTAACTCCACACCCCCAGCTCTACCTATTCCGGTAATCTACGAGCTGCCAAGATAGGCTTAGGTCCAATCCCTGCAATGGGAGCGTTCCTAAAGCGTTTAGTCAGGAAGACTGCCAGCCTGTGGTGATGAAGATTTGGGGGAGGATGGAGGGATGACATGGCAGTAGGACGGTGTTTCTGTGATGGAACTTGTTTATCTACAGAGTCGGGTTTATTTCCCCGGTCTGTTCCATTCTTTCCTCCCCCGGGCAGCAAGCAGGTAAAGGAGGGGAAAAGAAGATCGAGTCGATGAAGGAGGGAAGACAGGCAGGAAGAAAAGCGGTGAAGCTGGCAGGCGGGCGCAAAGAAGGACTCGAGGAAGCACGGGGTCCGCGCTGGAAAAAAGCGGATCCGGCGGTCAAAAGACAAATCAGCATGAGTTAGGTTGGTATACAGCCACCGATTCTCAATCCATCGAATAGATAGTGCACAGTAGGGTGCTGTACTATCACTTTCCAGCCGAGATTCATCACGACTAACTGGAGTCCGGAGTACAATTTTACATCACACTGCAATCCTCTTTTCATTCCTCCGGCCCAAGCATTGACACACAACTCAGGGTAACCAACCTTCCCTCGAATTGTCGGGGGCGGGTTGACTCCTACCTACGCAATAATGCGTACCCGCTTGGACCTCCTCATCCATCCCGCATGCCTGCTGCGATTTCGGCTCTCCTGTTCTGGGCAACCCAGCATTGCAATTCCGCGCTTTCGTAGGGGGGCCCTCGATACATCCCACCCTGCCCTACCTCTAGCAGAGAATCTTAGATGCCCAAAGTCCGAGGGCTGAAGTTAAGACAGATTGAATTATGAGTTGGTAGTTCATCGTGTATCTCAAACCCCTCAATATTGTACTAGGAGCATTAGCTTCGCCTCAACAAGAACATTTGGCAGTAGGCGTTGAGAATTAAATGCTTGTTTGGTGCCTCAGGATCGAAAGGATCCAAGCCTACCTGCTAACCCGGGCCCTGTTTGTTTGTGCATGCCGAGGACGGAGTTGATGAGCTTGAAGCTCAACCCTTATTGGCCTGGAAATGATAGTCAGGACAGAGATATGTAGTGTGTGATGATGCATTCTATTGGCTAGTCATATAGATGAAATACAACAAACGGGGAGGGACAGTGGCATCATGTCAATGGATGGCGCACACTCTTGTCAGCCAGGGCTGAAACAATCCCGAGACCTAAAAGGATCTACGAATCGGAGAAGCGATGCTTCTCCTAACTGTATCAGAATGGGCCCCTCGTCTGTGACGCTCATCTACCAAGGCAGCTTTACCGAGGAGGGACGGAATAAGCACACAACAGCCTCACTGATGATGCGTCGCGCGGACTCCAGAGGCGGATTCTCAGGTGCGAGCTACAGTTTGCCACCATTTATATTGGAAACTGCAGCCCACCTGCTGCGTGCAATTGTATACCAATGAAAAGGAGCATCCCAAGAGGTATACGCAATGCCTTCGAGGCTGTGAGCTGATTCCAAACATGCGCTAATTCCGTGCTGTACAGGACGGCATGTCTTGGTGGACCAAGGATGGCTTGACCCTTTCGCTCTCTCTTGCTTGCGACGCTCGGAAATGAGAATCCATGTCCCCAGAATTGTCTTCGTACTTCTGGTCTATGTACAAAGCGGAAGGCCCAAGTTCTTCGTGCAATCCCTCAAGAGCTGAGAAAGAGGGGCAGCTTAGCTTCATGCTGTCAGCCAAGCTTGGCATAGTTAGTTCCCCGTAGTAGCGACTTAGACTATTGATTCGCGTCTCTTTGGAGCATGGAGTCTCAAAGGACCCGAGCCTGTGGTGATGGCTCTCGGAACAAGGTTAGTCCCTGCTTCGTGTCTCGGCAAGGGTACGAGCAGTTCACTGAGTCTCGTGAGGTAGTTCTGGAGGATGTTTCCATTGATCTTGCTCTTTCGCTCCTCCAAGAGCCACTAGTTGGGGATCCATGGTCCAGAACTCGAGCAAAGTGGTCTGAAATCTTTGGCAATCGCATGGCCGGCCCTCGTGCTTCGTACCAAAAGCCGGGTGGGGAATTTTCCTTCCTCCTCCCCGACCCACGTTCCGTCGCCGCTGTCTCCATGCGCCCACATCAGTGGCTCCTTGACTATGCACCTGCTCTATCCGGTATGTCGAGACTTTCACCCTTCCATGGTCCCAGTTTTTCCTCTCGAGTGGGGTTCAAGAAGGTTGCCAAGTCTCAATTCATTTCTGGGAGGGTTCGGTCTTCTACCCGTCCAATTTGCTTCTTCTTCGTGGACTCTGTATCCCAACCCATCAACTTCGTCCAACGAAGAACCGCTTGCTTGGAAATTGCGGACAGGAGAAAATATCCCTCAAGTCCCTTTTCTCAACTCTAATCACGAGTTTGAACCAGACAAACGTTATCATGCTCTCCAGGCAAAGCCCTTAGCCACCCGTTCATGGGTGCGTGCCCCCTCTTTCTGCATATCTGATAGTCGGACTGCAGTGGAACCTTCACCTATTCTCCCGTGCGCGCGATTTGAGGTTGGGGGGGGGGGGGAAGAAAAGGCAAGGAATGTGTGGATGGATCTTGCACCGCTGCATGTGGTCACTCTACAGCCGTGTGAGATGGAAATGATTCCCCTGTCGCTCAGTCCCTGTTAGTCCATTGTCCTTTTCTCTTTTTCCTGGTCAAATCACCTTTGCCGACCAGCCCATCCCATCAGTAGGGTTCAGTCAAACTTAAAACAACGACGCTAGTCCCGAGCCATAGCGAGCTGTACCTATCATATTGATCCTCCTTGTGATCGTCCCAACTTTGTTTTTTCCTTTTTAAGTTTCTTCTTGATGCTCCATGTGCAGCTAAAGCAGCCACCGACCACCCAGGTCAAAAAAGTGGGCGAACAAATAAAAAAAAAAAACGCCCCAGCCGAGCGGTTGCAGAAAGTGGGCGTCCGTCAATCCTGCACCCGAGCATCCACTTTGACATCTCCCTAGCCTTGTGGGTTTAGATGGTGGATGCTGGGATTGTCGACGGGGTGGACTGTGAGGTGGTGGTGGTGGTGGATGGATGGAGGTTGGGTTGAATATGCTCTCGGGAACTTGCCCATGTGCCCATCTCCGGTACCGGTACCGGTACCTGTGTGATCGACTCTATACAGATTCATCCGAGGCCATATGGCAAGAGAAGAGAGCTGGAAGTTAATCGACAATACCCCAGACAAAGAGCTTGTCAATCAATTGGTCTGTTGACACCAGATCCCAGGGAACAGATCAAAGGTCTCCTTCTTTCCACGAGGTAACGATTGCAGCGTCATCAAATTAGGTGCGAAACTCGGATGTTGAGGTCATTGACCCTTTGTTCAACTCGGGTATCTCTCCATCCTATGCACGTAATTGGGTTGGGGTGCAAGGACAATTCCAACTCCGTGCTCACATATTTCGCCTCTCTATCCCGCTTTGCCCCCCATCGCTAATATTGAATAGTGGTGGTGGGGGAGAGAGGGGAAGAGATTTGTTTCCTACTCAGTAACAAGTTAGTCCATGCTAGTTAGTTGTTTCCTTATTGTCCCTTTCCACTACACCGGTGGGACACTGCGTAAACAGACTGGAGAAACCTATTTTATTATTGCGTGTGATGTGTTCGAACCTCGTCACTGGGCCTGGTTGCTAAATTGAAGTTCCCCGATTCCGTGCCGCTAGTAGCGTTAGGGAGACGGGTTGGTATCTTCCGTGCTCTGACGTCGGTGTGGAGGGGATCCGGTCCAATAGTGCGACCATTTAGGACAATGCAATTTCAAGATCTCTGAATAGTTCGATTCAGATTAGTGTCCACATCCACAATCAGAGTTGTGGAAAAGCAGGAATCCTGATTATAGAAAAACAAAACAACGCTATGTCAATATCTGCCCCATCTCGACAGTCACCTAATATGTAACAACTTATCTGCCACTTGAACTGTGCTTTATCCTAGAGAAGCAAAAGCAGAAATCAAAATAGTTTCATATGGATTCAGACACAACAAACATGAATTACTAGGCAATAACTCGAAGATAGAGATGGAAAGATCCAGTTCCAATGCCAGTCAGTCTCATGTCATCAGACAAGCCTTGAACCGAGGGACTGGCGGGTCAGACCATGGAAATCATCCCGCTAACGTGGCTGCGATCTGAATCGCAACATGGTTTGCGCCTGCCGTCGCTGCTGTCTACCACTAACTACTACCCTTGAAGCACACACACACATAGTCACATACTGTGTAGCAAATTAGCTATTTACCAGGGCTTGTTCATACTTCAGTGGTCTCATATTTAATGTCATCTCATTAGGCCAAATTACACTGATACTACCTCAATTTACCGACATCGACCGGCTGAAACCGCATCCTTGTGTCTCTGCGATTGGTAATTCGATCGCATGATTGCTTTTTAATATCGGCTTGATTGCTCGAAGAGACCCTGCCGATGCGATGCTGCACCCCCAGGATGATGTTGATGACGGCGGTTGATGCTCGATGTTCCCGTGCTCGTCATTATCCATCTTCAAGGCGGGGCCTTGTTGGCCACTAGCCATCGCGTAAGGCCTGAGCTTTCCATTTGTATGACGCTGACAACAGCTTCATTCCGAAGGAGCCTCCGACTCCATCATCACCGCCCGCGCATTGAGATACCCACCCACATTGGCCCTTCGCTGCGGGAGGAGAAAGAGGATTGGGAGGAAGAGGAGGCAAGGATCGCAAAGTTACTCCGTACTCAAATGAAATGCACGCGAGCGCCATCTCTGCAGAATGCGGAAAATGGATGAATTCCCGATTTCATCCTCAAGCCATGTCGTCATTCTGCATTGGGGGCCTCATTCATTTCTACTGTAACAACAACACCATCGTCACCATCATCACCACCATCATACACAGTGCGGTCATCTGGTGATTTTTTTAGTCATGGCCCTCGATAACCACGGAAACGTATTAGACTCGCTTGCATGCTTACCTAGTTCATGGATGGCGGCACATTACCGTCATCGTCAACCGTTGACCGACGACAGCCTTTGCGGATCCCCCGCCCGCCCCCCCAGCCTTTTCCGATGTGAGTGATGGATGGAGGGAAAAATGCAGCTTCATCTCATAGATCCCGGTTGAAGCCGGGCGATGTGAATGGCTGTCTGCTGCCGAGCTCTCAAGAATCAATTTCGCACGCGCATTGCATCGCTGTACATACAGAGATACTCAATGTACATACATCAGTAATCACCTTCTGCGGCCGGGTTATCTGACTACTGCGCTTTTGCGATAGATGCATCGAATCAAGGCTGCCCGAGTCAGTCGTACTGTACATAGTAAATGACCAATATATCATTGAACTATGCATCTGGTTCCGCTCAGTCCCTGAGGGGAATCCTTCACCCATACCGCCTCCTGGACCACCACCACCATTATCACTGACATACTACAAGCCCGCAGCAGCCCGCAGCAGCGTTCTCCGAGGGGGCCAAGTCATCACCACCACCACCCTCACCACTTCAACCCTAGATGGACCAATCACTCTGCCCCAACTCGGAGACTTTGGAGGTCTTGGCCGCTTTCTTGCGTAACATGTTCTGTGCAAGATGGCGTGGGTGGAATGCCACCATTGGACGCGCACACCCATCAACTTCTACAGTTACAGTTAAGGGGGAGGGGAGGAAGCCCGTCTGCCCATTCTTTGGCTGTGATGTGTTTGAAGAGTGCAACTGCGAACCTTCTTCTCGAATCCCCTTCTGGAGTGCTTCCATTTCATACCGATCGACTCAATCGTGCTGTAATATTACCGGCCACCGTAGTGTATTCCGCCGCCACTCCCCAAAATTACCAGATTCCAAAACGGCAAAAGCATGGGAACTGGATGGGGGAGCCGACAAGAAAAAAAGAGACAGGAGATGATTCAATCAGATTCAGCAGAGGCCATACTCCGTGAGAATAGTTGGTACGTAGGGGGTGGGGGGAGGGGAGCAGAAGAAGGCTTGGTCCACACAGGTACAGTACGCATGGGAACATTTTTTTTTTTAAACAACCATCTTATTGTTCAGCAGCGTGACCTTTCTCCCCCACGGAACGGGTGTACCCTTTGACGTATCTTTGTGATCTGCCACTTTCCCCGCTACCTTGAAACACACACACTCCAAGGGCTCAAGGTGAACCTTGGTCGCTGCATCAGTGCATCTACACAGTAAGCTTAACTCTTGGCGTTGCCTGCCCTCCTGTAGATTTTGGTCTTTTCCCAATTCCATCCATGCTTCAGTTGCCCCTAAACCCTTTTCATGCCTTCCCTGGTGCCACGCTTTGCTGTTTTGGTGCTGGTCTTCTCTTCCCGACATTGGTTATTGGACTACTTTGTATAGACACGGCACAAACCCCCTCCCCTCTCTCAATTGTCGCCCCTCCTCTCCACTTACCTTCAATGCCTCCCCTAAGTGAACCTACCACTCTGGGTAAGGTCTGTCGGCTCAATGCCGCCGCCCCTTATGATGATGACTTGAATGGGACACAGTGAATGGAGCGTTATTGCCGCACTTGCCAGCCTGCCACATAACACTCAGTCACTCACTAAGGTACGTACAGACATCAGAAGGGAAGGAAAGTATGGATGGATGGATGGATTATGGAGTCAAGAGTACGTACCTCTCTCGGGGACGGGGACGGTGACTAAACCACCAGACACACAGTACAAAATTGACCCGGTACCTGAATTGAAGACTCCATACTACACGCCATTCCCTTTTACTCTAATGCTTTGCTTTTGCTTTGCTTGCTACTTGTTGCTTTTTGCTTGTCTCTTTTCGTGATGTCAAATGTCCATGCTCTTTTATTTCTCCCTTCTGCATTTACTTCTGCACAATAGAGAAACTCCACCACCTCTGCTTTGCTTTCCTTCTTTCTCCCCTCCCCCCTCCCTACCCATTTCCCCTCTTCTTCATTTGCCTCCTTTTTGCTTTTGCCCTTTTGGTCATTGACTTTCTCTCTCTCTTGCCTTGTGGCTGTAGTCGCCTTCCCGCGCCAACCCTCATTTTATATGAGTGAGCATTTATTGTAATTGCCTGTCTCATGTGCGTGTACGAAGGAAGGAGTATACTAGATAGGTAGTAGTTCTCACTGCCTACCACCCAGACATTACTCACAACTAGACTAGCCGAGTCTACTATGCAGATTAGAGACACCGATTGCGATTTTACCGATTACAATCTTAAGAAACCACATGTTGCAGAACCGTGGAAAAGCCAAAGCTTACTACAAAGTACTGTACCTCTTGAAGGGGTAGTAATCACCATTATCATCATCGTCTTCTACCGTATTTGCATACGTGCATTGACACACATGATTGTGGTTCCCTTTCCTGAATGCCGGAGTTTCAGATCTTTTGCCGCTACCCCTGCTGCTTTCTTGCCCCGTTTTACATGGTAAACAAATTTCTCAAGATCCTACCTTCGTTTCGGAGGTGATCTTTCGTCATAACTCAGTACTCTTCCTGACGCCGGGCGCAATTGGTTTTTGTTTGTGTGCTGTATGAATTTAAAGTGCCTTTTAATGAATGAATGCATGTATGTAGTGTTAAATTTCGGGGGAAGGGGAGCGTAATTGACGTGCGTGTTTCGAATGAGGATTTTTTCTGCTGCATTGTGTTTCGTTGATTTGTTTGGCGGGCCGGGGGTTGATGCCTGGGTATCAGATTTACTCGGGGCGAGAGTGGCCAACGAGAGATGCCACTTACTCCCTCCTCTCTCTCTCCGCCATCCAATGCAAAAATAGAAATCTTTGAACCTACGTACATCGTACTAAGATTGAAGAAGGAGAGAAAGAGAGATTTGAACTAAAGAGTAGGTTAGATTTGAGAAAGATCTATTAGTCATGAGATGGCTTGAGGAAGAGGAGCGATGCAGAGAGAGGAGAAAGAAGCAAGAACCAAAGAAGGATAAGATGGAAATCTCAGATTGGGAAAAAGAAAAAGAGAGAAAAGAAGATTGGTCGAAAGAGGGAAAGGCGAGAAATGGAAAGTGATTGGAAGTAGAAAAAGCAAGAATAACAAAAAGAAAAAAAGACAAAACAGAAAAAGGAAATGAGAAGAAGAGAAAAAGGGAAAGTCGAGAGGGACCAAAAACAAAAATCATTAATTTTTGTTTTTGATGTTTTTCTTTTCTTTTTTGGCACTCCTCCACCTCCACCTCCACCCCCCCCCTCTCTCCTCTCCTCTCCCGCTCAAAAAATCCAAAAAAGAAAAACGAAAAAGAAAACAACCAGGGAAAACAAAAATAAGGAAGACCCATCCAAAACCTTGAGAGTCACCCGAGGAACTGGTTCCTATTTGGAGACTTCCCTTTTCCCACTTTTTTCCTCTACGGTGCCTGCTACCCACTAAGTAAATTGAACTAAACCACTCGAATCACTACACTAATCAACTAAGACTAGCACTAATTCATTGCTTTTTCTCTGTTGGTAAATGTGATTTTATTCTGCTTGATTTGAATTGATTTGATTTAATTTTTATTTTGTTGAATCATTTTCAACATTGGCGCCGTTTCGAAGCCTAAGAGGCCCAAAGGAACGATCTGCAACCGTCCCCGACGGGACGTCGTCAGTGGCACTAAACCCATCACCAACACGGCAACGCCAGGGCTTCCTTTCGTCCCTGCGGTCCATCCTCATGCTGAGATCCTGTATTTGTTCATAAGCTTCGCCGATCCCCTTCGGGCCCTTCCCCAGACTGTCTTTCCTTCTTCCTATCTGTCGGGTCCTTGACCAAAGAGTCATCTACATAACTATTCTCTGCCTCTGTCTCAGAACCAAATATCTCCTCGACTATTTACACAGCTGCTTTCCCCTGCGCATCTTTCTTCCATTCTATACATTAAAGCGCGGATCCCTTCCTACCTTCCTACCAGCTGCCTACCTTTTTCTCTTCCAACACATTACCTCTTCTTGTGTTGATCATCTTTCACCCTCGATCATCTAAACCTGATCTTCTTGATTCCCCTCTCCTCCTTCCTTCCACCAAATCGCACGCGCGCAGTTGCTTGCTCTTGGTTTGTTGTGTCCCTACGTTCCTAGGGATACTTCGATCGTCAACGTCAACCACGCTACCTCCCTCGAACAATCAACGTCCGCTACGCGCGATCACCACTATTCTCCATGACGATGGTCATTGAAAACCAAAACCGCCAATACGGCGGGATGGGCTTCGATAGTGTCTATCAACACAACATTCACCACACCCCTCCTCAATTCACCGATCCATGGGCCGCCGCTCAAACAACCTCCCACTCCAACCCTCCCGTATATGCGACAGCTCTCGCACCCAGTCCGATTGGCCTCAACCATGTCAAGCAGGAGGAAGTGAGCCGCCCCGCGGCGATGTCGATGTCATATTCTAGCATCCCCGTTTCCGCCCCCTCCATGGTTACCGGAAGCAACTATTCCACTGCCACGGCCACAAGCTACCCCGGACCGGAGATGATGGGATTGTCGCACGATATCCCACGCACATCGTTTGAGCAAGCTCCCGCTTACACCACAGCTTCCCCCATGACCAGCTATGCGCCAGCCAGCTATGCTCCTTTGAGCTACGCTCCCCACATGCACCAAGACCGACGGATATCCCATGCGTAAGATGACCCTCCAATGCGCAGCTGCTCAGAGCGCCTGGAAAGAGGAAACGAATATATGCTTACAGTTGTTTTCTGCTTCACAGTGATGCTCGCGTCAGTCAATCGCATCCTGCCTCTGCCCCGACTTTCGGTGATGCTCTGGATGCCAGCCGGGGAATGGTCGCGCTTAGCCAGGATTTGACGCCTCGCAACATCTATGGTCCTCGCAGCGCGCGGGGCTCGGGCGACTCTTATGGCTTTCCCTCCACTCACTCTTCGGGATCTTCGATCTCCTCCGCTAGCAACTACCCCTACTACAGTGCCTCGGTGGCATCTGTGGAATCTTCGGTTACCGATTATAGCTCGACCACCTCGGAATCCTACGAGAACGGTCATTTGTCGCGGACCCTTCCGCGCCCCTCGAACCTTTTGACGGGAAGCGCACCACCCGGACCCCAGTCGATGATGAGTCAGTTTAGCTCCAAGATGCCGTCCAACACACAGAAGAAGCACAAGTGCAAGGTGTGTGACAAGCGGTTCACCCGCCCGTCGTCGCTCCAGACCCATATGTATAGTCACACTGGCGAAAAGCGTAAGTTCCAGACCGAATATGTCGAACGTGGGGTTCTGTGAAACTAACAGCATGGGATCTAGCATTTGCATGTGACGTGGAAGGCTGTGGTCGCCACTTCTCGGTTGTCTCCAACCTGCGCCGACACAAGAAGGTTCACAAAGGAGAAAAGGAGGGTGGATCCGGCGACGACGAGGAGTAAATTCAATCACCCTCCTCGTCCACGTCGAACGCCTCTCTCAAACCTCTCACAGCGAAGAGGGGCAAATTCAACATTTCATCTCTACGTCGCGCGATGATCACATTGTGCGACGCGGCCTGTCGCAATGATGGGGCCTCCTCCTTTGTACAACAGCATCATTTCCTTCCACCATTTTTTCTCTTTTCCGACTCGCCCGACGTGGCTGAGTGTTGATACCCCGTTTATATTTTCTTTTGCTGTTTATTTCCTCCGTTATATTTTCCCCCTTCTATCTTATATCCCCAAGGACAAGCAGGACATGGTACAACGGCTTGGGTGGGTTGTTCGTGATGTCTTGAATACCCAGAGTTATGACCATAGAGCACTGGTTGTTTTGTCTTTATTATCTTTTTTTCTTCTTTCCTTTGTCATATCTGTTAGACTGGGGAGTTGGTCGTTTCTATTCTACATCTGGCATGATTTCTTACTCCGATACCAAGTGGGAAGTGGTTGATTTTGTTTCGCGTTTCCAGGGCATGATATGAAATGCGGGAGGAAATGTTCACGCAGCAGGGCTGTTTGACCCGGTTCGGATTTGGCTTTCACTTGTCTTTTGCCTGCCCTTTTTTATATGGCTGTCTGTTCTCTATCACGAGATATTCTTGGGACTTGACAATGAGTTTTATCTGGAATTCTTCGACGGGGGTTTACCTTACAGAAAGGCGGCGCACTCTTCCTGTTCTGAGTGCTTGGCTGATATACCCTTGTTGCAATTGGGCGGAGCATGGATTGGGCAATGGCAGGTGGTTTTGCATCTTTTTCTTTCTGTTCACTTTCCTATGTCATGGTTCAGATCTGGTTGGAAATATATACACTTTAGAGACACAAGCAACAGTGTCACCACGGTCGCTACATACATTAATTGTCTAATAAAGATTTGACATGAACATTTATTTGCATTCTCTGTATTTTGTGTATTCCAAGTCAAGCTGTGAGGGCGAGAACGGTGCCTGTGCTCTTCAATTAGTACTGTACATTGGCATTGTTGCTCTACGCTCTCCGATCAGTTGTGTTCCGCGTCGCAGGGCTACATCCGGTACTTTCTCTCGGCTTGCTTGAAACGTCCATCCAAATCTTGAACATCCCATTGTACACATTGCTATATGCCTCAATAGACTAGACAGGCACTCAACCCCGAGTCATTGTCCATTCCCCAATGCCGTTCAGCCTCTCCAACCCGAGAAAAAGAAAGGTCCCGAATCCCACCACCACCACCACCCGCAACTCTCAAACCTGCTCCTGCCTGCCTT